TTGTTATACAAGCATTACATCGTCTAACTGACCAAGCAATATTCCGAACGGGCCGCATCCGCGTGTTTACTGCCTTTGGGGAGGAAAAAAAACATTTGTGAAGATTTTTACAATAGGGACAGTCTCTGCGTAGAAAAAAAAAAACAACTTAGCCTACTCTTAACTTTACTATACTCGATGAAAAAAATAACACACTGCCGATAGACCAGTATCCAAGACGCGACGCCATGAAAAGGCGGATTGTTTTGTTTCCTCTTTCTCGGACGATTCACTGTGCTATGTCTTTCACTTTTAATTCCATAAACTACATTGGCTTTCCTTTCGTTCCGTGATCAAACATTTTGGCACGGACAAAAAGTAAATTTCATAAATGTGGCGGCAGTTGTTCAAAGTAGGCCACTGTTGTAGTTGAGGAGTTTGAGAACATTTGATTAAAATACAAAATCGTTTATTTTGTACACCTATAGGTATACGGTAGTATGCATATGAAAAACGATTTTGAACGGAGTTCAGTTAAAAAATTGTTTGATAAATTTAAATCGAAAGTTGTAATAATTTGTAATTATTAACTACGAAATAGACTACATCATGTTTTATAATCTCGCCCTTATCTTGTTTTAACACACCCGTCCCGGGAATTCAATTGACCGATTAGCGGGTCAAATGCAACAATATTTAAACATGTGCCTACACACGAAATACCAATTCAAACGTGCGTGTGTCTTCCCAATTTCAACTTTCATACCGTTTTAAATGTTAACATTTATTTTTATATTTTTTTTCCCCAGAGTTAGACGTTCCCAAAAGGTTAGACTACACGGGTAATTTAAAAATAAATATTGAATGCAACGAAAAACAATATTCATTCTTCGTGCGCAACCCTCCAGTATTACTAGTGGAAATAATAATATCGTGTGTCGATATTATTATATTATTATGTTTTGCACACATTATCATCGAGTCGGGTCGCACGCAGACGCTCGTTATAATAATAATACTCGTATACAGACTTTTAAAGTACTTTAAATATGGTGGTGTTCGAGACCCGATTCGCTAATCACTTTATACTTCGACAAACACTGTAACGTTTTGAAAAAAAAAGGAACAAACTAATTGATAATAACTACTGCCCGTATAGCGCTCGTACATTGGCAGATTCGTACAAACAACACATGTATAATAGTATTAACATATCAGTTTAATTGAAACGTCGCGTTTTTCTTGATTTTTTTTTTTCTAGTCGTTTTTCATCCCTCGTCGATCATGTATTAAATAGCGAAAGGTATTTTATGAATTCGTCCGTGTCTCATTTCTGCACGTCTGTCTGTATGCGCTGTGACGTATTATTATCTAAAAAATGTCGCCATTTATTTTTAGTCCAATCGGTGAAAAAAAAATGTCACCGAGTTTAATATGGTATTTAACTGTAATAAAAACATTAGAACATAATTTTACTCGCGTGTATACCTAGTTTCTAATTTGTTTATTTCTTTATTAAAATCATAACGCAACTTAGTGGCGTGGGTGGTTGACCAAATATGTTGAATGTTGATTAAGATTGGCTAGTTCAGATATCGGAGATGCCTTTAGTTTTGCGTATCATATTATTATTATATTTACTTACAAATATGATAGCCTATGTTATTACGCAGTCAATATAGCTAGATAAAGTTTTTGCCGTGATTATTTGTAGGACGTATAAAAATTCATTTTTTGACTGGGTGGGTCCAAATTTTTTCGTTTTGCTTCAAGTATGAAGAATGTTCAGCACGCTACTGATGCAACTAAGCGCCAGTTTACATGTACATATCACACGAGTTGTTTTATTGGCCGAACGTTGCTTTGACACTCCGGCTTGTGTAGATTTATTAATTGTAGAGATTCCTCGAGAAATTCGTTTTTTATCGGTTGGATGAAACTTGTTATTATACATACTCTCGAGTTTAAAAATATAAGCAACATCATAACTACGATGCGTCCACATTGTTCGTATATTTTCGTATAGCAGTAGGCATATTTATTTTGAATATTCATTCATAATTAACTAAATTCCTCCTTTCCCTGTACACTAATTGATACTCCGGATCCAAACCTGACAATCTTACGAATATTTTATGGGGTTTTTTTTTTTTTTTGTTGTTGTTTTAGGCATAAATCGTTGCCAGAAACGGTGGCCTATTTTGGCCTACAAACCGTTGTTTTGCGGAGAGCGGGTTAATTTTTCGTTTTTTCGCCGTCACAGTAGTATTCAGATAATTATATATTATCGTGTGTTCATGTTGCGCGAGTCTAAAATCACGTTAATATCCAAACCGACCTTGTAACACCCATAAGTATACGGCGGTAGGTCTACATGAATAAATGTATGTACTATGGATTTGTATTTTTCATTATTAAAAACCCATGGTCGTGCATAAGCAATAATAATAACACTGCAGCCATAACAACGCGGTATAATTTCGTGGCGGAATTAAAATTCATCGGGTCTAAGAACAGTCGGGCCGACGCGCACCTGAATTAGGGATGCAAGTATACTTATATATATATATACGTACACACGTACCTATATAACGTTTGCGCGGTCGCTGCGCTTCATCGTTAAAGACGTTTAATACGTTCACGGGGGTTGAACGCAAACAGTCGCCTCAGATCGGAGTTCGTTTATAAACGATCGGTTAGACCGTTCGAACGCCTGCGATTCATCGCATCAACCGCCCGAAGTAAGATTTATAAGAATTTTAAGTGTCACGTTTGTGTTTGTTTTATACGTTGTCAAAAATTGCCAGCAACAAATCCTTCAGATTTACATTTGAAACGTCTTTACGAAAAATTCAAAAATTTCGGATTTTCGAAGCCTGCGAATGACATGTATTTTCGCCCAAAACACGGTATACAGGTTAACATTCCGTGGTTACCCGATTAACATGGTTTCCTTGAAAAGACGTCCGGTTTCGATATTAATTTTGATTTTTTTTTTTTTTTTTGAAAGAGTATAACTTTCTACAGGGAACATTGCAACTCGATTTTACATCATAAAACTAAAAAGACGGACATACTTTGCACGGTGAGTGGGCTATTGTTGTAAGTGAGAAGTCGAGAAGGTAGTATATAGAGAGGAATTTAATGTGTTTTTATATGCGACGAATAATTCTTGTTAACGAAAAATGATTCTGAGCGGAGTTCGGTTACACATGTTTTTAAAGGCCGTACTATTTACGATTTTCATCAAAATTTGATATTAAAAATCGTAAACAAAATGTTTAAAAATACTACATTAAATTCAAATTTTTCTTGTTGACCATTAAGTACAACTTATAATAAACCTCCGGTCAAATTTCCAAACATTGCTGTTTGATTTAAACATTTTATCCACAGAGTACCTACAACATAAAAATTGCATACAAAAAACTCGCAAAATTGAATTGTCTATAAATAGCTTAAATATGATTCAGCGGTGGCCGGTCTCTACTATTATTTTCCTCAATGACAACTTCTATTATTCTATTATTCTTACTGTTATGGCCCAGTGTGTGTCTAAATTTAATTGGCTCTTCTTGTTTTTAAGGTTTTCAGAAATCTTTTTGTTTCTCCAGCTCTTCGGGTTTTTCTCAATTATTTTAAAAATCCCTTAGAAAAAAAAAAAAAAAACAACTAGATACAATTTCCTTTGTTACATCGTGCTACACTTAATACATTGAAGTAAGATTTCTTTTCAAAAAGTTGTTTACAGGCAGAAAAAATGTACACATCACAGTAAAACCAATTGATCATTTGTTACGCTCCAGTATTAAAATACTTTTATTTGAATAAATTTATTTCGATACTTTACAAGACTGTGACCATGCGAGCGCGTGTAATAAAGACCGGGGGTCTGGATAACAAAGAAAATAATAGTATAAAAAGAAACAAAACACAGTAAAACCAATATGTTCCTCGCTACGCTCCGAATCTAACAATGGAACCGTTATTGCTGTAAAATACCATGTTTTTCTTACGTTGTTCTCGGGGTTTATTATTTATCCCAATTATAAAGAAAATACAATTTTCAATATGTCAAGAAGATAAATTTTTTTTTAAAAAAATGCCACATTTAGAGCATGATTTCTTATAGAAACGTGGTTTACACACAAGAAAAAAAATGTTTGCATTCAGAATCTTAAACGGATTTTCTACAAAATGTATCGGTATAGATAGTCAACGATACACAAACGCCATTCAATTTAACATCAACCGAATGTGCTATTTCAATTTATGAACAATTAATAATTATATTTGCATGTATAAAATATTGATAAGATTATCTACTTATTTACATTTGTGATTTGGCATATGTATTGTTTTTACAGGCACGTCATTTCGTACATCGGATAAATTTCTCAATTATGGACTCAAAAAACGAGAAAGAATATATTTTCAATTTGAAACTAACAAAAATGATCGGTCTATATCAAATTTTAGACCCTAATACAAAAAGAGTTTTTGGGTATAACGTCTATCACGTAATTATTTGGTTATTCGGTTTGCACATGGTCGGCCTATCGGCGTTTTTTCCGATGGCCGTGTATTATTTGACGAAAGACCCAACTGCGTTAACATTTAACATTGGATGCATAGAGAATTTGATGTTCGCTAATTGCAAAATGCTGGTGATCCTATACTATTCCAAAGACATATGGAAATGTATCGAAGTTACAGATTTCAGATTTATAAGATACAAGAAATACAACCGTAACATATTTAAAAATTGGAAAATACTCTCACTGCGTGTCTCACTCGTGTATATTATTATGTCCATATTAGTTTTGGCGGTTTGGATATCATGTCCGTATATACTCAATACATCCATGATCACGATAAAAAACATTGACGGATCGTATAGCAATTACCGAATAAATGTTTTGAACGTGTACATACTGTTGTCGGATGAAGTATACAATAATTATTTTATTATATTTTATTCCGTTGAGGTTATAGTCCTCAGTACTTACGTTTATTTTTTGATGATATTTGATATTCTCATGCTCATAATATGTTGTGCGCTTACGTGTCATCTCGGGAGCGTTTCTAATGCGATCAGTTCACTAGGGCACAAAGGATCAATTGACAACACGAGTGCGTAGTTTAAATTTATAACGAAACGATATTTAATACGTAGATTGTATTGATTGTGTAGATACGCGTACTTATACTCACTTAAATAATGGCTTCTATAATTTATAGTATTTTACGGTTTATTAAATATTATTTAAACATATTTTTTGAATAAATAGTTTACATATAATATCAATAACAAATAGAAATATCCGGAAAGTGTATTCCTTTTATAAAAATTCTTTATGTTCACATTAAGTATTAGATTTTGCATTTTTTATCAATTTACATAGGTTTTTTACGACAGAAAAATTAAAAAATACATTTCTGAAAATTATTTCGTATCTCTACGTTATTATGTATACAAATATTATAGACATTTGAACTTAGATTAAATATTGTAAAATGAAATGTTATTTTTTACTTATAGGTAGAAATGATTTAATAGAACTGAACGCAAAACAAGATATATTATTCCATGATTTAAACATTATAATTACAGATCATCAAAATGTTATTGAGTAAGTTGAACATTTTTTTTTTTAATATTTAAATTGCAATTACCTATTTCCAAAGTTGAAAGTATTTATACAATCATAAATAACAGAATATAAATTAAACTGCCAGAGTGTTTATTTTGTTACTTTTTACACCCAAATTGACTCATATTCAAAATTGACCTTTTGCATAAAAATATGTACGGATATGTTATTCAACCAAAGCACCCACACCAATTCTGCCTCCACGAGAGTAAACACTCGTGGCTAATCTGTGTGTCTGACTACTCCATGTGGAAAGCAGCCAGTCACCATTTAGAAACGCGGCTTTTATTAATTAAACGATGTAAACACTGGTAGCTTGTTGAACGAGTGGTGTGTTCGCGTGGATAGTCACTAGAAGACAAACCGCCACCAAAAAGAAAACAAACGAAAGATAAAGAGAAAGAGAGAGAGTGATCCGTAATCAAGATATTTACTCCACTGAACATAAACACATTGAATCATTGAATACTTCTGCTTTGTGATACGTACTACGTAGTAAGTTGTGGAGTGTAGAAGTAGTAGGAGTGTTGATGGTGGGGTGGTACTGTAACGGAAAATTCAGTCATGGAAAATAGGTTATATCCTTAGCAAAAACATATTATACATAGGTTATTTATGTATTTATAATATATTTTGTTAAAAAACAAAGGTTTTTTTTTTTTTTTTTTGAACTTAATAAACATGTTAGCAATAATAATATTTCATGAAATATTTCGAACACTAGAAAAGCTGTTCTCAAGCTGTAGGCAACATGGTAGTACATAGCATTTTTCAATGAATCTAATACTATTTTATAGATATGTAAATAAATAATTTAATTATAGAAATAGATAAATTAATTAATGCATCGTCTGGAGTACCTATTGAGATATGTATGTTATACGATCGGTTTCAAATTAAAAATTCTTCATCAGGTAAATCACAAAGTCAAAAAGTAAAACGCGACTGAATATGAAAAAATAAATGTTTTTTTTTTTTACAAAATAATAATAATATATCTATACATTTTAGATAATACATAATAACCAAATAGTTTATATTTCTTAACATATCTATGTCTAATAATAACTAATTTTAAATAATATCTCCCATCAAAATAAATTATTTCTATGTAAAACGACCAATTTGTATAATTTTTTCTCCATGTGATCCTTCATTTATTTTTCCAAATTCAGTCGCGTTTTACTTTTTGACTTTGTGATTTACCCGATGATGAGTTTTTAATTCGAAACCGACCGTACAATACACTTATCTTAATACGCCAGGCGACGCATTAATTAATTGATTAATGTATTTCTATATTTATTTACGAGTACCTATTAACCATTTAATAATTTTGTTTTTACTTTATTATTTTCCATTCTCTATTTTTAATTCGTATAATGTTATTTATATTTTAGTATTTTACTGTCTTATGCATAATACATGTACGCAGTACACGAAAAACAAATTTGAGAACCTCTGCACTAGGCGATTCACAAAAGTAAAATCTCTATATTCACCAGTTATACAATATAAATCTTGTTGGAGCAACGTATTGTATAATATACTTACCGTTCCCGTGCAATTTATTGTGTTTTAGGATAAAAATGAAATTAAACTATTGAGTTGAGGCGAGGTTATCAACAAACTTGTATAATTCAAGTCGGGTTCATTCAAATAATTGCTTATAAGAAGAATATTATTATTAAATTATAGTATACTATGGTACTTTACGTATCCTACTAAAACCGTTCATATAACTCGTATTTAAGTCAGCCAAGTTTCGTTTCACGAATACAAATACAAATTAATATTTTATTTTTGTGTTAATCTATCGAAATATTATAGTTTTTTTTTTTTTTTTTTTTATTACAGAAAACTGAACGAATATTTAAATATTTTCCGGGCGGTAATATTAGTGCAGATATTTATAGCTTCGAATTCACATGTAATTATTTGGTTCATTGCTGCACTGGTATGTTGTTTATACAATTATTACAATGATCATTTCTAAATACAGACACGATAATACAGGGAGGTACAGGGGGAGCATTATCTCCAGCCACCACATTTCAAGGAGCGTTATAATCTTTTATATAAATATATATTTTTTTTTTCTAACAACAAAACTCATCCAACAATTTACACTCAGTCAGCAGGACTTAAAATAATGTGTTTTAGATCCCAAAGTGTAAAGCACAAAATGTCAAGTGCACAGCTCGAAATTCCAATGTCTTGTAAAAAAATGCGTTCTTACAAAATGGCGTTAAAAGAGCAGTACCCCAGGGTTAGGGGCGTTCTTAGGAGAGGACAGATAGGACGCAGGTCCAAATTAATAATAAAGCATGAAAATATTTAAAATTTTGCCCTGGGTTTTACAAATCCTAAAAACGGCCACATTCAAGACAATAATATTGTAAACACGTTTCTACGATAATCTCCAAAATGTTATACGCTGCAACACACTAGCTGTAGACCTAAATAATTTATTATCTTGACAGAACATTAGTGCCGAGGACTAATAGATGGCGCTAAATAGATCAAGAAAGATAGACATGTGATAACTAACTGAAGCGTGAGAGAGTCTAACTCTGATTCCGAGAATAGCTAAATTAAAACACCATGTTATTTTCATTATTTGGTCCTCGTCATGGTTTAAAATAGTTACAGAACGCTCTAATAAGCAGCGGAAAACCTTCTCGTCTGCCATATTCTCTAAAGTTTTTTTTTTTTTCTTTTAAGACAGTAAGTGAATAATATTCGAAATTGTCAAGACTATAGAAACAATTTTTTAAAATCGCAAAGTTATTTGTCATGATAAACAAAATTGTTTTATGCAATAAATTTTACATTGATATCCTCGGTCACGGGAAAAATTAGTTACTAACAATTATTTAGTCTATCGAAACATTATATTAAAGCAATTTAATAGATTGGGCTGTCATAAAAACGGTTTTTTTCAAAGAGAACATTCACTGGATACGTGAATCACTGCTCGTTGCGTATAACCATTTCTATCTATAACCGAAGTCCCCGCCAAAGAGGAAAACGGGCGGAGACCGTGCATTATCATATTGAAATTTGAATGTTTCGGTTAGAGTTTAGACGGAGCATTTAGACTCGTACAAGTATATATATATATATATGTATATATTATATGTTTGCAGCCGTTGTACTCGTTTTGTTAATTGAGAAAATATCCGTAAAGATATGCATGCAATATCCGATATACAGTGTTAACCATACGACTTAAAACTCTATGTACCTACCCATCCAAATGTTTATATGTATTTATAAAATACATAATTTTAATTATACAATGCGCGTATGTGTGGTTCAGAATTTTTCTAAAGTTTACAACGGAGAGTCACTATCGAGTTTATCGTTGACGGTAAAGCTGTTTTTTCTACTGCCCATATTTACCATTCAACTGTTCATGACGTGCTACTTATTTGAGACTATAAACGAAAAAGTAATACGACCAATGTTTTTATTTTTGTATTATCACTCGATAATTATTAACGTTGCATAATGGTTGTCATTAATTCGAATTCTTATAAACCGTTTTTTACGTTCAGAAAGATTCAATCATTTTGGCGTTGTACAGTAGCAATTGGATTGACATGGACATAAGGAATAAAAGGTTAATTTTGCTTGCGATGAAAACGAATAATTCGAACCAGTTGAAAATGAAGTTCACATACACAAAAATTGTTAATTTGGAAATGTACAGCAACGTACGTATAAATCAGCGCTATTCAATCGGACCGGTTTATTTTAACCGATTAACCGACCCGGTTATGACTAATTTGAACGATATCTGCTCAACTTGGTCATAACCGAATTAGGTAATTTTGGTTAAACCGGCCAAAACTATTAACCTAGTAAATTTGTTTGAAATAAAATTATTTATTAGTTTCTATAGAATTATAACACGCAGGTGTATTCAAACACAAAACTCTCAAAGAAAAATAATTTAAAAACAAAAATAACAACGCGTATACATTAATATCGGTTTATTTTGATTATTTGATGTGGCCTTGCGTCGAAAAACCCGGGACAGAATTAAGTTTTATGGAGAAACGGCGACGGCGATTTTTTTCCTTGGTATCGTGTTAGTTAGTTTTCAATATTTCATAATCGGTGTTCGCATAAATGCGTAATATTATTCTCCTTGAACGTGATCCAAGATCAAACATATTATTATTGATATCGTAACATTTATATAACCCTTGGCTCTTCTGAAACTGTTACACGGTCACATTGTTACCGCCGACATTGCCGTTTACAACTTGTACGACTTGACAATAAAAGAAATGAAAAAAATCTCACCTATCTAGGTATATTTTCAATTTTTTTTTTAAGTATATTACACTCTAAAAACTGGTACCTAATCATTTCTAGTTATTAATACTGCATAATATTATATATATTTTGTTTTGATTTGCAGACCATGCGGTTATGTTATTCGATATTTTCCATGCTGATCAAATATAACCAAAATAAAATAACATCGGATTGATCGAGTTATTTTTATTAGGTTTTTAAAATAACATCAGTACTTATTATTATATTATATTCTTTTATTTTACAATAAACATACAATTCGTTTGGTAGCCAATTATTGTGAATCGGAGAAGCCGCCTACCGGCGATATTAATTCTAAATATAACGGTTTTGAATGTTCAATCGTAAGGAAATGTAGATCGCGCCACCTGTATAGCAACAATAAACATTATTATTTTTATTTGTATTATTCAATTTAAATTTTTAGTAAATATTGTAAATAATACGTAATAGTATAACTATTATTATTACTATAAGTGGCGTGACGTGATGTAGTCAGTGGTGTAACCAGTCACCAAAAATTATATAATTTGACAGCGTTTACAATTTATTTAATATAAATATCATCAAAAAGTGTTTAAATAATTAACCATAGCTCCTAAATAAACACTATCGAGTAATAATAATACTTTTAACTGTTCGAAGTCAATGACTTGAGGAGTGAAGGTGGACACCGTAGACTCGGGTAAAATACTTTGTAATTATATTCAGAATAGAATTCGAATACATACAAAAAATTGTATTTAGAATAATATGCGTTTAAATAATTCATAACAATAGTTCTTACTTTCAAAATATTCCGAATATTTTTTGCAAATTATTCGGAATATTTTAGGGATACATGTTCAGAAAAGTGTAATGTGAAGTTTGGATGATTTAAAGAAAATACAAATATCATATCATGATAGGTAATAATATTATAATTAGGCACGAGTAGAATAAAAATGCCGATCGTGATTCTGGTGCTGATGCTGGTGTCATATCCCCGCCACTCACCAAAGTCCGCACCGCTCGCTACTCCGTACTCTGCCCCGCAGTGCCATCCCTCGCACACATACACACACACGCACACACTGTTCACTTTCTTCTTCGGATATGTGGACTGCTTTCCGTGTTTAAAATTATCAAAATCGTGTCCTAAACCATAGGTCTAACCTAATGTGAATTTTTAACGTTATTTAGTGGCATTTTATTAATGTGCTCTTATTTTTAACATTTTAAAAAATAAGTTATACTTTCAAACAACCGATGTTCGTTTTCCTTCATTATAATTGTGCAGTTCGTAATAACTAATAAACCTAATTTCGATTACTGAAATTGATGTTTGATGACCTCTTCCTAATCAAAATCCTGAAATCTACGGCTGTGGCAGTTACGTGCCTGGTTAAATCACACTCAACTTTACTATAACTATATCTAAATCATCAACAATACTTTCGTTCTCTTGAATGATATATCAAAATGAAAAACTTTTTTAGTTACACAGTTATTTTAATAGTATGCCATTATAGTTGAGACCTTGTGCATAGCAAAAGGTCTGGCGTAGAACACAAAACTACGATCATTTGGATTGCCAACAGTAATCTATATCTATCAATTCGTGAATTTCCTATACATAATAATTCAGAGATGGACTGCCCATTCTCGATAATTCTCGTCATGATGCCAGCAAATTTGTATTACTCTTGATATTTGATGACCACTCCCCGTTCCTCTAATTAAAAATCCTGGATCCACACCTGAAGCCAGTATGCGACTGTTTCAAACACACCCAATTCTACCCACTATACCTACATAAGCAACAATATTTTCATTCTCTTGTGTGATACATTAAAACTAAAAACGTATTTTGGCCACTTAATATTATTTTAATATTACGTCATTATAATCGTGACCTCGTATATAAACAGTGATCTCGTGCGAAAACTTAAATAAGACGTTTTTCGTCCATGGACATTTTAATTTGTTAAGAACGCAACGGACGCGTTAACGACGACAGAACATTAAGCTAGTTTTAATGATACAATTCCGCTAACGACCATGTCGTTGCATTATTGAAAAAGGTACCCCATGAATCAACTTCAGGTAATATAATATTACATAGGTAGGTAAACATATAATCCGAGGACTTGTAACCGTTTCCTAATGTTCTGTATCGAATTATGTATATACAGAGTGTTCCACGAAGATATACTGATTATAATATCTTCGGAAATAATAAAAATAAACAAATTCTGTGTTGTTTTGTTTGTTTTTTTTTTGTATTATTCGCAGAGATAAAGACTACAAATATCTATTTATGAATTACATATTTATGTTTTAGTAAAAAAATTAAAAAATAACTTTGTATTTAATTATTTTTAAAAATGTTGAAGATGGCCATGATATAAAATGAATTCTTCAGAAGATATTGTCGTAACAAGAAACAATTTTCATTTATTTCGTGATTTTCAATCATTTTTTAAAATTCAGAGAAAAAAACTGTACAGCCAAATTAACTATAATAATTATAATCAATTAGTCAATGCGATTTTAGCCTACTGCATAATGATAAGTACTTTTATCTGAAATTTAAATAATTATTAAAAATCACGAATTTAATGTAGATACGTCAAAATTTTTAAAAGAATAAACTGTTTTAATGGCTGTCTTCAAATTTTTCATTAATAATCAAATTTAAAGTTTTTTTTTTATGTTTTTATCAAAACATAAAAATGAATTGAAATTATCTTCGTGGTACATCCTGTATATATTTATATTTAACAACTCATAATAATGACTACTCAATTACGTATCGTACGTAGATGACGTTTTATACGTCAAATAAATTTCCGTGTGTGTACCTATTTCTGGAAAAGGAAGGATTAACTTTTTCTTTTCATTTTTCACGTTTTAGCTGTATACAGCTTTATACGTTCATGTCACATTAATTATACGACGTATTTATTTCTAAAGACCTCGTGCGATACTTGCATAAATAATCATCCACAAATTACCCAGTAGCGTGGACGACAAAGACAATACAATGAAATTATTACACGAACACAATTTAGTACATGGTATAGAGACCACGGAAGAAGTCTGCGGCTGTTGTTACTGGATATTGACATCTACGAGTCATTTACTATTTGGTAGGTAGATACTGGATAATAATATAGCGTTAAAAACAAACAGACATAATTCGGGTAAGATAATACTTTGTTTTTTCGAAAGACATAATTTTTATATGGAAAATTCAACACCAAGAACACACACAACGAAATTTTTGCTAACAGTAAAATCTTTAGGTACATAATATATAAGTGGTTTTGCTCTAATTGAGTGAGCAAGAACCAACGCATTGCCTAAACCGCGGGGATTGGAAACTTGACATTTTCACAGTAGATATCTTTTATACCTAGACATCCACTATGGAACGATTTTTCTGAAAATTCCACGTATAAAAGATAGCTGATATTATTTGGTATTTTCGGGACTACGATTAAATGTTATTTGTTGATTTGTACATCACCCTAGTGACATTTATGATAATTTGATTGTATCGAGCAAGAAACCACTCTATAATAATAATTATTAATATCTCATTTATTTATATTATGCACAAAAAACATACGTACGACGAGTTTACGTGCGATGCAATCTGAAACTATTCAACCGATATTGATATGATAGTGTTCAATGTGTGCATAGGAAAATTGGTTGGTAGTTGTGAGAGGGCATAGTATTTTTAAAATAGACTAATAGGCTTAGGAATTTCCTCTGGTCTTATTTAATATGAACACTTTGTGATGAATCATGAACATGATTCGTTTTGCCTCGGATGTTTTAAAAAACTGAATCATCAGTTTAGGAACATGAGTTATTGACTGAATAAGAGTGCAACAAAATGACTTCGAGGAATTGCCTAACTTAAAGATATTTTAAGAAACATTGTGTTTGTATGGGATACATTTTAACGACTTAAAGAATTAATGAAAAATTAAAAACAAAAATCCACTCATGTGTTACCTAAACTGAATCGTTTATGAAATACCTCCTATGTAATATTATTCGTAATTAGAAAACTTCTTATGTAATATTGAAAAACCTCTCATGTTATTTTGGCAAAAAAATTTACCCAACAAAACTTCTTATGTGATTAAATATTGACAATTAACACAATATATAATATATAACTATTAAGTTTTTTACTTCAATTTTTTCAGAATAAATAGTTTTATAGTTTTACAATTTTAAAATTTATTTTCGTCTATTTTTGACAATTTTTTATTTTTTAAAACGTTTTTGTGTCTTCTGAAAAATCAGGTTTTAGAAAATAGGAGGTTTTTTCACGTCAATGGTATTATGTTACACTTATCAAAACGAGTTTTTTTTTTTTTTATTTGTTATTTTATCCAGATTAACGCATTATCTGTTGCAGAATACTTCCATCTGATATACTTAAAATATATATCTTCAATATAATCTACATGGAATGGAAATATGGAAACATTGAAAACAGTAAAAGAAACCGAATACCTTTTTAGTTTGACGTTGGTAAAGCTCATAAGTTTGTACCAAATTTTGGATCCAAATACCGTACGTGTTTGCGGACACAACGCGTACCACTTGTTCGTTCTGTCGTCATGTCTGTATATTTCCGCCATATGCGTGATATGTCCAATGGGTTTATATTATTTATCAAATGACGTAACGGCATTTTCCTTTTACTTCGGGGCAATAGAAAATTTTCTACTCGTCGTGTTGAAAATGATCACCATCGTCTATTATTTCGAAGACTTACGGAAGTGCGTCGAGGTAGCCAGGTTTGGATTTCTGTCATCATACCAATACTACAAAAAACACATGTTCAAAAGATGGAAAAAATTGTTTATGCTAGTCTCATTCACGTACGTCTCAATGGCTTTCTCCGCATCGGTGGTATGGATTTTAAGTACACGCATGCTTAACAAAACCAAAATCAAAATTAAAAACGTCGACGATTCGTATAGCGAATACCGAATAAACATGTACAATTTATACCTGATAGTAACAGATCACACCTACAATGAACATTACAACGTATTTTATGCCATCGAGATCGTCGTGCTAGTCTCTTTCATTTATTTTCAGGTACTATTCGATTTGCTTTTGATTATCATATGTTTCGGGTTATCATGTCAATTGGAGACCATTTGTGATGCAGTCGAAACGCTAGGGTATAGCCAGTATCCATTTGAAAGTAACAGCGGTAAGTAGACTAAGTAGATATGTATTTGTGCGATCGAGTGGCTCATCTAATAGGTTAATTTGCACCAATAAGATTTATAACGTTATCTAGTGGCATTTTTGAGTCTTAATTATTCTTGGAAATGGTAGGAAAATCTGGAAACTCAAGATTCATTATAACTTGTATTTGTTGGTTAAAAATAAGTAGTTCAGCAGTTTTTTTTCTTGTCATGTTTATAGATATGGGAAATAATGCAATGAATTTGAAAAACAATCGTCTACACGATGATTTAAAAAACATAATTAATGACCACCAGAGTGTAATAAAGTGAGTAAATTTTTTTTTATAAAATGTTAACTTCCTAAATAATAAATCTTTCGTAAATCGTTGTTTTTTTATTTTTTTTTTTTTACTTATTCAATTGACAATTGGCAATAGGTATTATTTAATTTTTATTTTTACAGGATTATAAACGATTTTTACAACATTTTCCGGGTTATAATATTACCTCAGATATTTGTGAATTCAAGTACACATGTACTTATTTGGTTTATCGCTTCAATGGTAAGCTATCTAAAAATCGTATATGCTATTGAATGAAAAACTTTAAAAGTCCATCACAGTGACAGTGGCATTTTCCATCCTTGTGAATTTGTAATGGTTAATATACCAAAAATGACAGAACGGCCTTTAAGATGGGTTTTCTTGTACTTATATAATTTTTAGATGATTTTATTTTGAAAAAAATATAAAAAGATTGAGATGGCAAATACTACTGTTATACTGCCGGATATAAAATCTTTAAATTAGTTTGTATTGTTGTCGATGTTAAGCCATTGGTGTGTTGTCAAATCTATACGCTAATGAAATTTCAAACTATCGTTAAACGTGACCATTTTTCCAGAATTTTTCGTCTGGGTCCGGAATTTCGATACTATTCATAAAGATGATTACCATTCTTCCCGTGTTTACTTTCCAACTACTGATGACGTGTTATTTGTTCGGGACTATAAACGAAAAGGTATTTTTTTTTTTCTTTAAATCAACAATAATAATATTATGTAAAATAACTTTGACTTTACAATAATTTGCAGAAAGAATCCATAATATTTGCATTATACAGCAGCGATTGGGTGAAAATGGACGCGGAATGTAAAAGATTAATTTTATTTGCAATGAGGATAAATAAAACTAACCAGTTTAAAATAAAGTTTACACAAACTAAAATTATTAACATGGAATTGTTCACTAGCGTACGTACGAGTGTGAATTAGGTCCTCCCTGTAGTAATCATAATATGTTGGATAGAACACGATTGTGAACTTTTGTCCTTTTTGGCAACACGACTGTGTATGTTTTCCACGTGTTATTAAATTAGAAATAGAATAAAAAAAAAAACAGATACAAAAAGATTTAAAGAAGGGTGAACTGGGGGATAGTAAGGGGATTATGTGGATGAATGGAAGTTGGATTGTAGGTATATTATAAAATAATATTTACGCGTACGATGTACCTATAATATTAGTGCCCTCTATTGATAGGATGGTCGGTAGCACCATTCTTACAATGCGCAATCGGCCGGATGTGACTTAAATAGACGCGTGACGTAATATGTTATATAATTTTTGTAGTGTGAATAAAAATAGTTCTTTAAATACGTATTATATATTTTATTGACGATCGCCCATTATCAGCTATCGTAGGAAGTTATGATTGCTTTAGTGTCTATTTATTCTCATTAATATTATATTCCGAGAATATCATAACTTTCACTTACCTCGGGTACACTATTTGAAGCTCATTTGTTCAGGTGTAAAGAGCAATGTAGAGTAGGTTCCAATAAATTGTTACGATATAAACACCGAGTGATTTATTTAAACTTTAAATAGACGTGGGACTCGCTCATGTAATATTATGAAAAATTAAATATAACAGTAAAAAAGACATCAACATTTTTTTACTATAAGAATTTATCTAAAATTATAATGTTATCACGAGTTTATATGTTCCGCACCAAGAGAGAACTTATACGACGTCCATTCTCGTGTCTATTCTGCGTTGATGTCGTATTCGATGTTGATAAAAATAATTATTAGTCGAATGGTGGTCACAAGTACATATTTTGTTATAGATTCTTAAACTACGCTCATCGGGAATGTCCGCAGTAAAAATGTACCTGTGTAGATTTTGTAGATTTCGTAGATTGTAGACGATTGGTTTTTGCAATATGTATGCTTACGATATTTTATAATAGATTAGTAAAAATATTTTGTCGAGATTAAATTATTTTCGACTAAGACAAAAATAAAATTACCGTAACTATATGCGTTACATGAAAGTAATTGTTGATTATAAATGTATTACTCATCTATAAGTTATATATTTTTATAATCTTAGTATAGATATTTATTGTTTTCTACTGTTTTTTTTTTTTTTAGACGATGCATCTATGTTATTCGATGTTTACAATGTTAGTAAACTACAACAAAAATACAACAGTCTAGATTCGGCACGGTCAGTTTTGACGTTCAGCTTGTCGAGTCAAAATAGAAAAATAAAAATTCAATTTTAAAACTCAATTTTCAAAGATGTTGCTAAAGGAATGCATTATACACACATCCTCTATGCAATTGAACTATTATGTAACCCGGCCATTGTTATACATTTCACTTACTTACCGGGATGGACCATACAACACTTACACTATCAATTCTTAATTTCATTATTTGATCTTTAAAAGTTATCGTCATTTGTGATAAAGTATCTATGGATTATAATTTAGAACAGAGATGCATACAATAAACTAGTTTGCTAACTTATGATAAGCAGGTAGTTTAAATTTGTATTCGTCATTTAACACTTATGGAAATTATTATTCACTATTATATTGTCAAAGCTGGACAAGTTAATGATACATTTTAACTCAATTAAATTTAAATTTTTTATTGAAATGTAAATAAAGTTCAAAATTTTACTAAGTTAGAAGTTCACAAGAAGTTAAAAAAAATACTTTAAAATTATAAACATAAGTTGAGTTAATTAAAAAAAAAAAATAAACTGTGAAATGGCTATTTTAAATTTTGTTTAAAATAATACAATTAAATTTATATTTTTAAGGTTTTTACTAAAAATAAATTGAAATATAAATATCTGTAGTCAGTAATTATCCCTGTGATTAATTTATCTTTATTGTCTCCGGAAGTATGAAAATGGGTAAATCTTTATAGGACACTCTGTATAGTAATAAAAAGCATAAAAATGCAAATGTAGTATATAAACGTTTAATTAATACAAAAACTAATTACCCATGTGGTTTAGTCTTAAATTTACGCTTATACATCAATAACTAAAAGTCTAGTAGACATATATGTATAATTGATTGAGTTATTCGATTATTTTTGGACCCGAGCCTTGGTAAATGAAATAAGAATCTATTCATAAGGTGGATAGCATCAAATTTACTATGAACTAAGATTATTGTCAAAATGTGTGTCTAGCATTTTTCTTCTAACGGTAAGATTAGAGAAGTTTGAAAATCTTTAGATCGGTAGTCATAGATATTTTTGGAACATAACTTGCGTTTTGATTTTAAAGCATTGCACGTGTTAAATTTAAAATGATTAGCAAAATGTAAAAGTGGCACTAATTTAAATTGCAAGTCTTCCTCTTGTTCTACATGAGACATGTATTCATTATAAATTAAATAATCAAAACTTATTCTGTTACGTGAACTGGAAAATGGTATGACCTTAAATTTGTGTTTCATCCACACTTCAGAGTATTTTACATGGCAAAAAGATTTTTTATATAGCATTTATACAAAATATATTAAATAAAAACGGTGACAAATGTACTGTTGATGCAACTATATTGTAGTCTGATTTGTAATAAATTAACGAATAGTAATCTACCGACGAGATATGATTGACACAATGGTATAAGCGAGTATCCCACACCCAATTTGTCCGAAATAAGTATACAGACTGTCCCACGAAGAATTAAATTCTGTTTTTTTATATTACTCATAGAAATTAAGACTACAAATATTCATCGCGAAACGCGGTTAGGTTATTCCCCAGTTAACATCGGTATTTACACGGATTAGTAAAATTTAAAATGGCTGTTACTTAAGAACTATTCATCCGATATTAATGCGTGATACATTAAAATTTCCAGAAGAATAAACTCTACAGAATCGTTATCTTAACATTTTCCAAAAATAAAAAAATAAAGTTATTTTTAAATTTGTTTACAAAAATAAATTGTAAAAAAATATAAATATTTGTAATCCTCATCCCTGTGATAAAAAAAAAAAGACGTCTTAGCATAATAGGATATGGTGCAGCCACTGTTATAGGTATTTCAATAAATATTTGTAAGCAACGATAGATCATTGCTAAGGAAAAAACGATTCTGACCACAGCTCAGTTGATAGTGATACTTTGTCAAAAATATGTGTCATATTATGGTAAAATAATTAAATAGACATTATATATTTTCTTTAATAATATTTGTTCAATATTGTATCAATTTTCCCGTTTTTCCCATTTGTTGAGAGAAATCCTGATAAAATCAAAAAATTCGTTCCTATCAGAAAAGTATTTATATCATATACATCAGAGTAAGCTTCCTGGTAAAAAAAGTGTTCTCATAAAACCAAATACAAATTTAAAAAAAATTAACATTTCAGTAAAACTAATACATTCTTCGCTACACTCTTAATCTAAAATAATAATAATGAGCATTTTAATCAAAATCATAATCAGCATATTAATAAGAAGCGTAATATGTTATAATAAATATAATGATTACTTAAATAATAACCAACAAATATCATAATCAGTATCTAATAAAGTAACCAACAATAATCATAAGTTTAACAAGGGTATTTGTTGATGATTATCATTACTATTGATGGTTATTATAAGTATGCCGATTATTATTATTGTTGATTAATATTATTAAAAGTACCTATTGGTAATTACTCTGTTGCATGATTTGGTTATTATTATTATTTTCATTATTATTATTATTATTATTAATTCGAGCACTGGTTAATAACAACAATAAATTATCCTTCAAAAAAAAGGAAATTGCAATTGTTTTATTCAATACCCGCTTTTTTACCTGGTATCGCTCATGTGCAGTTTACAATGCGTATTATATACAGTTTAGAGTGTGAAAAACATAGGTATGACTTTTATTAATGAAATGTTTTCTAAACCAAAGAATTAATTTATTACAATATAGATTTGTAAAAACAAGAAATGTATTCTGAAAAAATATTGCAAATGCCTATACTGTCAAAATACGTCAGATGATAATATATTTGATTATTAACAATTATTGTAGACAAATTGAATGGCAAGAGAAAACATATAAATACATTAATTGGCTTTTAATTACTTATTGATATTCTATTGATACCCTAATTGATACTCTCGATTTTCATCTGGTAATTATGTTAATATTTTGTGTTTGTTTCTTATGCCGTTACCAGAAACGGCCACCGAAAAAACCGTCGACAGAGGACGATTTTTTTTTTTTTTAATTATATATTGTAAATTAGAATTATACGTTCAATTCTTACATCTTATTAATATCAAAACAACCATTTATATTGGTTTATGAATAAACCCACCCGTCTAATTTTTAATTACTATTGGTCGATCGTGTATAAGAAAATAATAATTATACTGCAGCGATAAAAAAAAAAAGTCCGTTCCACAATAGAATAAAAATTTTGCTACTCAATTAAAAATGGATGGGGTCAACACGTACCTATTATACATGTATACATCATCGTCTACCGGAGTCAGTCTTATCGCAGTGAAATTAACATAAACGATGTTACAATAGCTTACCGGAATTAAATGTTAACAGTTACATTCGATCACACACGAATCCATCACGTCGACTTCGTGAGGTAAGATTTTTACCCTTCGTAAATCGTGATTTGAAAATTAAATATTTTGGAAAACTCATTTTTAACCAAGTCAATGATTAAAATTTATTGTCAGTTGTATGTTTATAAGTGATAAGAGAAATAAGATAATTTTTTTCGTTTATCACTTTTTTGATAAAAGTGCATATCAGTCATTACTCGTTTTTGACCAGAGTACAGTTTATCTATTACTTTTTTTTTTTTGATATTAAAGTTAATTTACCATTTTAATTTTGGTATAATATATAATTCAATTATATCCGGTCAAAAATGGTGACCTGATGAAATCGATGTTATGGGGAAGTAGTATGAAAAAGGCGGTTCAACACCAGGAGCCCATTCCTGTGCTTGGGCCAGGAGCTTTACATGGCCGCCGTACTAGGAGCTATACGTTTACATTGGGGTAGCCCAAACTTGTGCTATATATTTACATTGCCGCCATACAAGGTGGTATACTTTAACATGGCCGCCCGAATTGTCCACCTCCTCATCGAAATATGTTTTCCTGAACCCCTTTTTCAACTATACCCATCGTTATCATTTTATGTTATCACGATTATACCTACTTTTATCACGGTTTCAAAAAATGGTTATACCAAAATCTTATCACGGTTATATCGTAATCATACTAATCACGGTTATACCTATGGTTTCCATATGCCAACAGTATACTGTTATCATGTCCCTAAATTGTTATACATACCAATATCATATATAAGTACATACTATATCATTGCCTCGGGTATTGTATTACGACCACGCGAATATGTATACTACATACATTTCGACCACTCTCGGATTATCAGGAATATGATGACGACCATATATTTTTAACGGAACTATACGAGTTGGTCCTTTACGTTCCGTCATAAATTTAGACCACCCTTGAATTATTAAAAGTACTTGATGATCATGCATAAAACGAATCAACCGCTACTAAAAACAATTCATAATATTTTGTTAACGTTTTCCTGTGCCACTGTAGTGATTTTACTATAAACCCGTACACAATTGTGTTCTCTCCGCTCTCGTTTTGTGTTCATTTTTTCAAGTTGTTTTAATATTTTGTTCATTTTTATTTAAAATAAATATGTTTGTGCGTACCGTCGTCAGTTGCGCTGAAGTGTTTTCCGCTAAACGTAGCATGTTGCGTTAAGTGAAATCACACATTTACATGTAAATGCAAAGGTTTGGACAGACATGTAAAGGTATGTAAGGTACCTGGCACAGGTACAGAAAGAGGCTCCTAGTGTTGAACCACCCTTTTCATACTACTTCGGGAGTATCCAGACAAAATAACTTTGCCAAAACTTCGTATTCAATATGCTAAAACGTTTCGTTTGTTTTGTTTGTTCTTTTCGATATTTTTCAAAATGTGATTCGTAAAAAGTACCAATGGTATACATAATATATATGTACATAAGAGAGAAACTACCTTTAAATATAAAAAAGTGTGATGGACCAAAAATGAATCAATGAAGTTAGGTTAGGTTTTGTGAGAATTCTTAAACGTGGTAGTGTAAATGTGTAAAAGAAAAGTTGTAAAGGAAAATTTGAGCAGCCAGATTTTGTTGAAGAGTCTAATATTATTCTTAAAATTAAAATCTTTCAGACGTACCGGATGGGAATATGGATACCTCAAGAAACATGAAATACCTTTATAGTTTATCCTTGGTGAAGCTCATAGGTCTGTACCAAATTTTAGATCCAAAAAATTTTCGCATTTATGGATTCAACGCATACCACGTGGGAACTGTGTTGTCATGTGTGTACATTTCCGCTATATGTGTACCGTCTCCGTTGGGATTATATCATTGGTCCAACGACTTGAACGCGTTCGTTTTTTACTTCGGATTAGTGGGAAACTTTGTGTTAACCGTGTTCAAAATGATCAATATCGTGTACTATTCAGAAGACATACGTAAATGCGTTGAAATCGCCAGATTTGGATTCATATCGTCGTACCAACACTACAATATGAAAATATTCAAAAAATGGCAGAAATGGTTAACACGGGTTTCTTTCGTGTATGTCATGACAGTCTCCTCCTTAATAGTGGTGTGGTTAATAAGTCCATGGGTGCTCAATAAGACCATGGTCAAAATAAAAAACGTTGACGGCTCGTACAGTGAATACCGAATGAACATTTACAATATGTATCTGATGGTAACACCACAGATGTATAACGAACACTACATGCTGTTTTACGCTATTGAAGCCATCCTGCTCGTTTCTTTCATTTATTTTCAGATAGTGTTCGATATAATTTTGATTATCATATGTTCCGCCTTAACGTGTCAATTGGAGATAATTTGTGATGCAGTCCAAACGCTAGGGTATAAAAGGTGTCAGATCGGTAACGACAACGGTAAGTACATATTATGTATTAACATATTATGTTTTTGTTCAATTTAGTGGAATAAATAAATAATTAGACATGAATACCTAATATATAAGCACTATATTTAGTCTATTGGCCAATTGACCTAAGAAAACTATAGACTCACCTGAATCAGCTGAATTCTAGACTACTAGCGCCAAATAAATTAACATAGTTCGTTGCTATATGTGACGAGGCTATAAAGACGTTATGCAGCCTTAAATATAATATAGATGCCTATAGACTATAGTGAGAAAAAATGTAAATAAATTTAATGTATGCAAATAGGCAACTTAAACTCATTTAATCACAAAAGTTATAAAAACATTAAAACCAAAATATTAAAATATCAGCTATATCTATTTATTAATTATCTATTTCATAATATCTAATCGCCGTTTACGTAAAAAGTTTTCAATTATTTTGCGGATCACATATTTTGATTTTTCAGCGTATTTATACCATAAATTAAGGTGTAACAAATAGTATTATTATCTTTGACTATTTTATAACGAATGTTATTGCGTTTTATAATTACATAGATATGGAAAAAAATGTCATGAGATCAAAAGCCACACATAAAAAGGCAAATGATTTAATAAACATAATTACTGACCACCAGAGTGTAATAAAGTGAGTTATAATTGTTCTTAATAAACACTTTACGAACATTAATTTTGTATTTTACGTATCGATATTTCATATTTTTTATTTACACATTAAATTGTACGGGATTTATATTATTATTTTTTTTATTTTTATAGGAAATTGAACGATTTTTACAATATTTTCCGTGTTATGATTTTGCCGCAGATATTAATGGTGTCCAATACACATATACAAATTTGGTTCATTGCGTCAATGGTATAAAACATAATTAAATGATCTTTGAATTTTTTTTGCAGTGCTCGAAGCGGAAAATTAATATATGAGAGACAATAAGACTCAAAAAAAATTGTTTACAGTTACTGAAATTAATATGAATTTTAGACGTTTCTCTCCCACATGTCCTTTACATTACTTTTCTAATATTATTCGATGTGTATTAGTTAATATAACACAATCAATAGTTTGTATAATCCTTACCAACTTTATAAATATTAACATTGATAATAAATATTTTATTTATATCTATGTTAGTTATTAGACTCTAAGCTTAGATAGAATTCAAGCTATTTAATTCTACACTAAAATCCATATTAGCCCGTCAAAAAATCTATAGTTTGAAAGAAAACAATGCTGATTTTTTATTTTGTACTTTACAAAATTCAAATTATTCACTTGATGGAATTTACCAAATTACTGCTATATTTGAAACGAAATGGAAGATAACCAACACGTTCTCTTAAGATATAAAAAACCTTGAAAGTAAATATCCATTTAATTAATATTATTTTTGTTGAATTATGTGTTATAAGGCAAACACTTATCTGTAATTCACTATTTTTATAATCAAAGTTATTTAAGATTTCAATCGTTCAATAATCGTTATTTATTCAGTAGAAACTAAATTTTCATATATTCTATATTTTTTAAATTATATTATTAAAAACAATGGCCTACTTACGATGCAAAGTTTATCTGACTGTTTACATACTTATATGATTTTTGTAAAATTGTTTGTTTTATCGTAAAATAATGTTAATGCGTTTAGATTTGCATTAAATTATATATCTATTATCATATAAGAACATAAGTGTAAAACAGAATATACAATAATAATGATTATGTTTTATAACTGAAAAATAAATATAATAAAAGATTAATATATATTGTTCTGGTATATATCTGAGTTGATGATACATGTTTGTGAATTGTATAGCCATAATTGGTGTTCTATGGGTTGTTAAATAATCTATGCTTAAATATCAAAGTTTATCGTTTAACGTGAGTTACCTATACGTTTTCAGAATTTTATGGTCTCTGGAGATGAAACGGGCAATTCGATACTCTCCATAAAGCTGTTCAGTGCCCTCCCCATGTTTACATTTCAATTATTCATGACCTGTTATCTGTTCGGGACTATAAACGAAAAAGTGATTATGATTTTTTTTCTTTCTTAAATTATTTTTTTCCCTGCCAAAAAAATAATAATGAATATTACGTACGACGTATTTTTTTTTAATCAATACTTAATAATATTATAATCCATAATAATAATAATACTATTAAGTACGCCATACTTGTGATTTGAATAATATGTTAAATTCAGTTATGGTCTAATTAAGTGTCTCTATGACTTTATTAGTCATATTCAATAAATCAATAAATTAGATCCTAGTAAATTTTTCATTAAAAATAGGCAGAAAATTATTAAATAGATTTAGAAATATAAGTAATCGGTTAACTGATCTTTATAGACTTATGTTCAAATTCAATTCATATCCAACAGTGTAATTAATTATTACATTCATTTGATTATAATATGAAAAAAATAGCGAAAAAATTATGCCCTTTTTAAACATAGGGTAGCGTAGTTATTAATCGGGTATCATATGCTACTCTTCACTAACCCATAATGACGCCACGATATAAACAATAATAAGGGTATATAACTTATCGATTTTTAATGATTTGCAGAAGGACTCTATAATTTTCGCGTTATACAGCAGTAATTGGACAGAAATGGACGTGGAAACTAAAAAGCAGATTATGTTTGCGATGAAAATGAATAACACTAATAATTCAAAAATGAAATTTACCTTAACCAAAATCGTTAATTTGGAAATGTTTACTAGCGTACGTAATTAGGTTTCCATAAATGTAGTTTCTGTTTTTTTACGTTGTATAAGTAGACGAAAACAATTATTAATTGTGGAATGGTGTCAAGTAAGTATTTTGGCAGCAGTTTTTAGGTTACGCTCATTGAGAAAAACCCACACAAAACGACCACTAATTGTCTATAGATTCCGTAGAATTGATTATTTTCGATTTGATTTGTAGATTTTTTTTTCTTTTAAAGCAAAAGGTCCGTGACACAAATACATATTATTAGATGATATAGTTAAAAAATGTTTGCTATAAGGGATAATTTTCTATCGATTAAATAAAAATAAAAAATTACCATGCTGATTGTAAAACGACAATGCCTGTTATAATTATGTGAATACATTTATTGATTTTTGTAGCATATAGTTTAGATAACTTTTAATCGTTTACGAATCTATCGAAATGATCATTCGTATTCATACTATCGTTATAATTATTATATTATTGTTTTTACCATTCCGTTTATTTTTCAGATGATGCGCATGTGTTATTCGATATTTTCAATGTTGGTAAACTACAACAGAAATAAAACGGAATAGTCACGGTCAGTTTTACATAGTACAAAACAAAGCACGTCAATTTTGGTCCATGAAATCGTTTGTAATTCGTATAGGAACACTGTCTCCTTAATCACTGAAATGAGATAGATATTGACTAAAATATTAATATATTTAGTACTATATAATTTACATGTACCATAAATTATACATCACATAAACCTCACTTTTTATTTTAAAATATAACACAAAATATACGCCAACTTGATCTTGTTTCATTATTATTATTATTATTATTATTTATTTAATATAGTGTCCCTATAAAATACAAATTGTTCGGTATTTTGCTGCCATTATATTTTTATTACATCTTAATAACATTAAAAATTTAAAAAAAAATCAAAATATAATAGTGAAGTTTATTTATTTGGGCATGTACTAATTTAGCCTTTTTTTATATTATAAGTGTTTGCATGATTTTCATTTTTCAATCCGTTTCTGACCTACCTTCTGTGATCGAACCATTTTGCAATTTTACATCTACTTATATTTAAGATGACAATCATTAATAATTTTTTCCGTTAGGGATAGAAAAGGCCAAAAAGGGTTTCAAAACGTATGTATACAAAACAAATTTTTATTTTAAAAGATATTTCGTAGAAACTTGCTTAGATTATGACTAAAAAGTTAAAAATATATTTAAAAAAAAACCCCACACATCATAGTAAAACCGATAAGTCATTTATCACACTTAGAATCGTAAAAAAAAAAAAATGATAATTTAAAACATGCTCTATTCATAGTTTTCTTTTAGTCATAAATAGAACATTGTTGACATATTTTTTTTTCGAAAGATTGATTTGAGACTGATTTTAGTCGTGATGGGAAGGTGAACAATATGATTTTTTATTGTAAGACTTAATAAAGGAGAAGGGAATAAAAATCTCAAACATGGTACATAGTAGAGGAGTGAGAGAATAATGACCCACTATGTCCATTTAAATAAGGCCGAATAAATAACGAAATTCGACGTTTGAACAAAAGCAAAAAAATAAATCTCTTATCGCTGGGCTATTCCCTTCTATACCCGTTAGATCTTCCGTACCTTGACGCACGGGCGTTTCATTCACGTCCACTACAAGTTCGGAGACGTGATCATTAGTAGACGAATATTTCATTATTAGTGGTCAAGCCTAACGAGTGTGAAACAGGGACGAAACATACACGGTAATGGCTATATTCACGATTCCGTCGGTTCGTCATAGTTTATATGATAAGGTGTGAGTCTTAAATACCTTTGTCCATACCTAAACCGCGTTATACATTTTCTTTAATAACATTTGTTCAATATTGTACCGATTTCCCTACGATTTTCCCAGTTTCGCTCCGTTATTCTCCGGGTTTTCCATTTGTTGACAAGAAATTCTGGGAAAATCAGAAAATGATTTCTCTAAAGTACCTTCCCAGTCAGATTCCCTTTCAAAAAAAAAAAAATGCTATAATTTTAAATTTAGCACACGTTTTCACACAAAGGAATAAAAAATAAAACATTTTTTTTTTTTCATTTATGATGAATAATATTAACTTGGGCGAACACCAAATCATTCTTTTATGAGTTTGGGTAAAAATAGGTCATTTGGGTGAAAACCAAAAGATTGATTTTGGGCGAAAACATGTACGTCCGTCACATGGAAGCCTTTAATTGGTACTTGATAAGGTGTATAATTGAAAGAATAGTTTGTGTAGAAAAATTATATTCCATTTATTTATGCGGTTTTCTACGAAAACTACACAAATTATAATATATGTAACTTAAGTTGCTTCTGAGTGTAATTAATTATAATTACAATTATGATATTCCATATAATTGCATTATAATATTACATATTATATAACATTAGTATTAAAATTTATTTTTAGCTATAATTTTTGAGGAACTTTTCATAATATGCCCAATGCACAGAACATTTACCCCGTAACAGAGAAAATACGTTTTATAGCGTTTAACGTAAGACTACACCAGATGCACTGGTGCGCAAGGTAATGTTTCACGTCGAACACTATAACACATGGCGATACCTTTATTGTGAATTCCACTTCACTGCACTCTACTGATTTTTGCACCGAGTTTATTGATAATAATCGCGCGAGCTCTAGACGACAGTGAGTTTTATTATTTACCCGATAAAATGGATAACAATCACGACGATCCGAACTACTTGAAATAAGGCGATTCGATAAATAAAAAATGCATACATAAAAGTAAAAAATAAATAAATGAATGAACGACGGCCTGGAGTATTATTATAATAAGTGCGTTTTACGATGAGTTCCGAATTAAAAATGCATCATCAGGTATATTACAGTGAAAATGTAAAACGCGACTCATTTTTAATAATTTCGATTTTACTTTATTATTTTATTATTATTTATAAATATTGTGTTTTGATTGTGACTTGACTAAATGAGTAAGCTTTGCAGTCTTACCATAGTGAAGTTGAGCTAAAAACAGATGAAATTTCCAATTGTGAATAAAAACAGAAAACTTAAATTTGTTTTTTAAATTAATGAAACAGAATATCAGAATATGAATATTATTTTTTATTTTATTTTATTATTTTATCTCTACACGGAAGAAACTGGAATCAAAAGCTTGCAATTATGATGAAAGATTATTTTTGGGCTTGATGTATGATTATTTAGAGCATTTACACATTTTTGGGGAATTCTTATTAGGTCTTATATGCATCGAACACAAAACGGATCTTTTAAAATACACAACACAAATTTATTTAAATATTGACTGAGTTCTTTCCCCGAACTTTCCACCCGAAATTCCGGAGAAGAGTGATTTTCATAATGATATTTGAATAATCTTTTTTTAATAATTTGTATACAATAAACTCACCAGCCATCGATAATAGCGCGCTGCTCACGTTAAGGCCAGCTACAGTGTAACAATATTTGCTGAGTATCTACAATATTTTAACATAATAATATTAATGACGGTGATGATTGAGCAAAACAATATTACAATATATTAACATATTTTGAATATATTGTATTATTATTACTGGTGGCTGGATATACTACAATACTTACTAAGCTTTTGATTGGTGTATTGGCGTGTGATGCAAATAAGAAGGTTTAGTCTCTTTAAAAACCCAGTCAAGTCCCCGAATCAAGTCCTTAATCAAGTAAATACTAAGGATATTCATAAAAAATTGTATGGTGCATTAATTTGTTTTCAATGGTGGTTACATAACGGATTAATTTTATCGAAAACAATAAATCAAATACTTGAATTTAAGGATTAAAAAACAAACACAAATTCATGTATATGTTATTAAAAGGTCCTTATTCTCAGTAATTCTAAAAGCTATTCACTTAACATATTGACGGACAATAATTTCTATGACAGTCACTATAGTTTATCAGCCCTGCTGAGGTAGTGAATGTTATAGAAATTTACGAAGTTCTCATACTGCAATTATGGTAAGTTAAAAAAAAAAAATATCCCTAATCGTTAAACTATGTCCTCGTTTTACTGATTTCAAAATAAAAAACGCAAATTTTATACTAATACAAACGCTATATTGGGCAAGTATGTTATATTTTACGTAGCTCTCTACACAAACTAAGCTACTTGTCTTCCCAATATTTGTGTACTATTACTGTTTCAACTTTCTAAACTATACATCTAATAATTCACAACACAAAATTGAACTTGCATTACAATTTTTAAAGTGCCTATCTGTTCTTAAATTTTTTTTATAGAACAAAATAATTTAATGAAATTAGACAAGGTACAAAATAAATTATTTGATAATTTAAAAATGATAATGGCAGATCACCAAAGTGTTATTAAGTGAGGTTTTATTTTTTTTGGAATTATTTAAATACCTAGTACTTTCGATACTTTTGTGGACAAAGTCCTGTCTGGACTTTTGTTCTGAAACTTTGTGTGGACTATCACATTATACTACATATGTAATATGATATTGTAAACTCCGAAAAGTTCTGGTTTTTTAAGTAAAAAAAAAAAAAAATGATAAAACTGCAGGGTACTATCCGCACATCTTTTGAACTTTTAAAATTAACACTGTCTTTAGGTTTATTTCTTCCAAAAAAAAACAATACACTGTTGATATTTAGTTTTTACAAGGATTATGTATTAATTAATTTATCGAAATAATATTTTAATATTTAATCATAAAAGGACTTTTTGTTAATACCTTAATTGGTCTTTCATCAATGAAAATTAATAAGGTTCGAGCTCTAGCTATTTACATCAAGAATATTTTTACCAGTCAACAATGAATATTGTTATTGTTATCCAGATTCATTCATGTGCAGTTTCCAAAATATATTGATATGCGTAATGCAATATACAGTTTAGGGTGTCATGAACATATAAGTACCCTGTATTTAATGTCTTAAAAATGTACTTTGGAAAAATGTATCGTATAAGTTAATCCAGAACATATCCTATTTATGTGCCGAATTCCTTTTGAAACTGCTGTGCCGTTTCGGGGTGATTGTGTTTATAATATTAGTTGGATATACTTATTATTGTAAAATAAAAAGACGAAGAATGTCATAACAAGACGGATGTAAGTCGTTTTTATGTTTTTTACAATCTGAGCGTGCGAAATTTGTATAAATTTCTATAGCGAAGGATCAATAAGTTTTAATATGATGATTATTTTTTTTTTGTGAAAAACTGTTTGACCAGAAAACTTGCTCCAATCAAAAAGCGATACGATACTTTTTTTATTGAATTTTTATTCTTGTTGGTTAATAAGAAAGTCATTGTTTGATTTTCTACGTGGTTTTTATAATAACCAGGGAAATCGAAAAAAATAAAAAAGAAACCGATAAATTTCTGGCGTTATGATTCCATTATTTTAAATTTATACGGGTTTATATTTTTTATACGAAATATTTTTTTAATATAAAACAGTATGGGATGTTTTTTGTTGAATTTTCAATTTTAAGCGAAGAAGTTTATAATTTTACAAAATGTTTATTTTTTTTTATCTGTGAATAACTTTTCTTCAAGAAGACTTGCTCAGATTTTTAATTGTAGCACTTTTTCTAAATGGAAATCGATATGGGGAGGTATTTAATAATACTTAATAAGGAGGTCATTTTTCGATTTTCTCAGGAGTTTTCCCAGCAAATGTAAAAAAAACCGTGTTAAAATATGGGAAAACCGGGAAAAACGTAGGAAAACTGGGAAAATCGGCACAACATTAAACAAATATTATTAAAGAAAATATATAAAACCCATTTAATTATTTTACTATAAAATGACATGTATTGTTGACAAAGCAATATTATCAACAGAACTCCGCTCATAATGGTTTTTTCGTAAGTAATGGTTTATCATTCCTTACAGATATACATTAAATTATCTATAACAGTGGCTACACCCATCTCAATTATCCTAGGATGTCTTTTGTTTAATTTGTATTCTTGTTGGTAAGTAAGAAAGTCATTTATGATTTTTCGCGTGGTTTTTATAATAACCAGGGAAATTGGAAAAAAAAGAAAAAAAGAATTCATTGTTTTAAATTTGTACGGGCTTAAATTTTCTATACAAAATATTTTTCTAATGTAAAAACGATATAAGACGTTTTTTGTTGAATTTTTAATCTAGTGTATTGGCAGAAAAGTTATTTTTTGAAAGTCCGTGTTGTGTTCTAAATAATTGCAAAAATTTGAAAAATGAAAACTGATCAATTTATGTCACCACGATTTCTTTATTTTAAATTTTTGTGACTTATGTTTTTTACAAGAAATATTGTTCCAATAGGAAAACAAGATACCTTTCTTGTTAAATTCTAAATGTTGTTGGTGATTAAAGAAGTTGTTTTTTTTTCCGTTTGGTTTTTTTAATTATTGATCAAAACCGAAAAACATAGAAAAATGGACAAATTTATAAAAATAATGCTTTTAATATTTTCAATTTTGTTTTTTTTTTTTTTAAATTTAATGTTAAATTATAGTATAATATATTAATAAATTATCATCAACATTTTCTGGGAGGGATCGTGAATGATTATATTTATTTTAAATATATCTATTAACACAAACCTCTTTTTTTAGACGATGGTTCATTGAAATTATATCGGTGTGTTGGGGGATCTAGATCCCCCTGCCCCCTCCTGGAAATCCGCTACTGTTCGTTTGACAAATATATCAATATTTTATGTTTGTTTCTTATACTGTTACCAAGGACGACGACCGAAAAAACCGTCGACAGAGGACGATTTTTTTTAATTATATATTGTAAATTCGAATTATACGTTCGATTCTAATATCTCGTTAACATCAAAACAACCATTCATATTGATATATAATTTAATCCACCGGTCTAATTTTTAATTACTATTGGCCGATCGTGAGTAGGAAAATAATATTAATAATTATTGTGACATGCAATAACTATTAAATTGAATTTTGCCTAAGAAACATTGTTACTTCCGAATACACACCTGAATTCGTCACATCAACTTCGTGAGGTAAGATCCTTACAGTTCGAAAATTGTTAACAAGATTCTAAACCAAAATAAACTAAATTGTAAAATATGTTAACTTGTTTGTTCAAAAAAAATTTCCAAAAAAAATACTATAAAAAATTATATCATTGGTTACATTTTTTTAAAAAAACTCATTTTTAACTGAGTTAAAAATTTAAAACCATTGTCAGTCTTATGTCTGTAAGTGGTAAGGGAAATAAATTTATTTTTTTCGATTTTCAATTTTTCGATCTATGTGCAGATCATCCATTACTTGAATCTGACCAAAGTATTGTTTTTCTATTACCTTTTCATTTGATCTTGGTTCAATTTGACCAATTCAATTTTAATATAAAATATAATTCGGCTATATTCGGTCAAACATGGTTACCTAATGATATTCATGTTATCGGATGTATCCAAACAAATTTAGTCCCCTAAAATTTCGTATTCAATATACGAAACAAGTTTTGTTTGTTAAATTTGTTATTTTCATTAATTTTCAAAACATGATTCGTAAAACGTGACAAAGGTATAGATAACATAGTACATAAGATTTACTATACAACTATATTTAAGAGAGAAATTACATTTAAATAGTAAAACTGTGTGGTCTAAAACTGAATCGGTGAAGTGTTGTATGATAGTTTTTAAACATGGCAGTAAAGTGTGAAGGAAAATTTATTTATTTTTCTGGACAATTTTTGCAGCCAGATATTGTTGGAGAGTCTAATATTATTCTTAAAATTAAAATCTTTCAGACGTACCGGATGGAAATACGGATACCTCAAGAAACATGAAATACCTTTATAGTTTGTCCTTGGTGAAACTCATAGGTCTGTACCAAATTTTGGATCCAGAAACTGTTCGCATTTATGGATACAACGCATATCATGTGGGAATTGTGTTGTCATGTCTGTTTATTTCAGCAATATGTGTGCCGTCCCCGTTAGGATTATATCATTGGTCCAACGACTTGAACGCGTTCGTATTTTACTTTGGGTGTGTAGGGAACTTTATGTTAACCGTGTTCAAAATGATCAATATCGTGTACTATTCAGAAGACATACGTAAATGCATCGAAATCGCCAGATTTGGATTCATGTCGTCGTACCAACACTACAATATGGAAATATTCAAAAAATGGCAGAAATGGTTAACGAGTGTCACTTTTGTGTATGTCTTGATAGTTCCTCCTTTAATAGTGGTGTGGTTAATAAGCCCATGGGTGCTCAATAAAACCATGGTCAAAATAAAAAACGTTGAAGGCTCGTACAGTGAATACCGAATGAACATTTACAATATGTATCTGATGGTGACCCCACAGACGTATAACGAATACTACATCCTACTTTACGCCATTGAAGCCGTTTTGCAGGTCGCTTTCATTTATTTTCAGATAGTATTTGATATAATTTTGGTCATCATATGTTCCGCTTTATCCTGTCAACTGGAGACAATTTGTGATGCAGTCCAAACGCTAGGGCATGACATGTGTCTGATCTGTAACGACGACGGTATGTACGTAATACATACTAAACTACTAGTATATTATGTTTTTGTTCAATATAGGGGGATAATATCGATGTATTAAGCAATTAAATAAGATAGCCAAATCTACTAGTTATGGGCACGAGTAAAGGCAATACGGGTGCCAATTGACCTAAGAAATCCGTATAGACTCACCTGAATTAGCTAAATTCTAGACTGCACTCGTGAGAGCGTTGACGCAGATGAATCGAAAAGGGCCCTAGGACAATTAGAAAACTATGTCCTCTATATAATAATATAATCTTTATAGAAATTCGTAATATACCCACAGGTAACACATTTTATGTAATAATAAACAGATAATTAATAAATAAACATATTAATTGGAAATCCAGTTTGCTATATACTTTGTTATACCACACAAATTATAGCTATATGTACGGTGAACACTGTTCATTGTATATTATTGTATGTATTTTAAATCTGTTTGAATACTGATTGTGACTGGAATTACCACATTAAATTTAAAACATGCATCATTAAATATATACGAGTTTCTAATTATTTTAAGGGAGCAATTTCATAATTATTCGAGGCCCCCTGTGCTCTGGGGCCCCGGCGCAATTTGCCCTATGATAAATACGCCAATGTGTGAGAGAAAGCCGAGTTAAGAAATTACTACGATTTAATACTCTTAAGAATGATGTATAATTCAATTTGAACCGGTAAAATGTATGTTGTTTAAATTTTAAGCGTAAATAAATTAACATGGTTCGTAGCAATACGTGAGAAGGACATGAAAACGTATTCACAGTATTTTATAACTAATGTTATTGCGTTTCTTATTTACATAGATATGGAAAAAAATGTTATGAGATCAAAAGCCAGACATAAAGAGGCAAATGGTTTAATAAACATAATTACTGACCACCAGAGTGTAATAAAGTGAGTTATTGGTCTTAATAAATATTTTACGAACATTAATTTTGTATTTCACGTATCGATATTTCATATTTTTTTTTTACATACTAAACTGTGCAGTATTTGTATTATTATTTTTTTATTTTTCTACAGGAAATTGAACGATTTTTACAATATTTTCCGTGCTATGATTTTGCTACAGATATTGATGACTTCCAATACACATATACAAATTTGGTTCATCGCTGCAATGGTATGTAATATAATTAAAACGATCTATGAATCTTTGATTCTTACAAGTAGTATTCAAAGCGGAAAAAAAAATATGAGAGACTATGAGACTTAAAAACAAAATCGGTATTGCTTGCAAATAATGAAATTGACCTGACTCTTAGAGGTTTCTCTTCCACGTGTCCGTTGCACTACTTCTTTAATATTATTCGATGTTTATTAGTTAATATAAAACAAATAATAATATACATAATCCTTACTAACCTTATGCTTACATATTTAGTATAAATATTAACACTGATTATAAATATTTTATTTACATTTATGTTAATTTTTATACACCAAGCTTAGGTAGAGTTGAAGCTTTTTAATTCTATACTAAAATCCAAATTTGTCCGCCAAAAAATGTATAGTCGGTAAGGAAAAGTGCTGCTTTTTATTTTGTATAACTAACAGTTTTTATTAAAATATAAAAAATATTGATAACGAATCACAATATACATTGCGTCGTTGATCCATCAACAGTGCGTATTTCAGATTTTGAAGGTTTACAGAAGTAAAAAAACAACACAAATTTCACAAAAAATATCAAAGTATAGCAGCAATGAGGTGGTAATAAATGACATAAATTGAGATAGATGTTGTCATCATACCTTGAGATAATCGTTTTTTTTTTTTTTATGAATAACAGTTTAACCATTAATATGACAGAAAATTACTTAGAATACAAATTGTCAGCTATAGCTTAATTATTAATATTCATAATAAACTCATGATTTATTGTTATTTATACAGTAGAAACTAAATTATAATGTATTCTTTAATCTTATTATTAAGTTTAACATATATGTTATCATATAAGAGCATAAATATCAGAATTTACAATAACAATGATTACAAATTACCACTGAACAATAAAAACAATAAAAAATTAATATTAACTATTGTTGTTGATGAAACGTATTTGTTAATTGTATAATCACAGATTGGTGTTCAGTGCGTTGATAAATGATCAATACCTAAAAATTCGAATTTATATTCTAACATGAGTTGTTTATATGTTTTCAGAATGTCATGGTCTCTGGAGATGGAACGGGGAATTCGATACTTTCCATGAAGCTGTTAAGTGCCCTCCCCATGTTTACATTTCAATTATTCATGACCTGTTATCTGTTCGGGACTATAAACGAAAAAGTGATAATGATTTTTTCTTTCTTAAAGTATTTTTTATAGAACTACGTTCAAATTCAATATATATCCAACAGTGTAATTAATTATTAGATTTATGTGATTATAATATGATAAAATAGTAAACAAATTATACATTTTTAAAAATAGTGTAGCGTAGTTATTAATCGGGTATCATATGCTACCGCTCTCTATCCCATAATGACGCCACGATATAAACAATAATAAGGGTATATAACGTATCGATTTTTATTGATTTGCAGAAGGACTCTATAATTTTCGCGTTATACAGCAGTAATTGGACAGAAATGGATGTGGAAACTAGAAAGCAGATTATGTTTGCGATGAAAATGAATAACACTAATAATTCAAAAATGAAATTTACCTTAACCAAAATCGTTAATTTGGAAATGTTTACTAGCGTACGTAATTGAGTAGTTTTTTTTTTATACGTTGCATAAGTAGACGAAATAAAGTAAGTATTTTGTCAGCAGTTTTTAAACTATGCTCATTGAAAAATACCCACACAAAACGAACACTATAGATATTCGATGTGATTTGTAGATTTTTTTTTTTTTAAAGCAAAAGGTCTCTGTGCCAGGAACACATAATATTAGAAGATATTATTCATTATTTCACACAAACGATTCATATATTTTATACTCTAGATTTACTGTGGTATAGCTTTATACTCGGAATATCTATTCTTCGGGTAGATCAGAAAATTTTAAAACTGGGCTTAAATTTAGATATAATTTGATCAAGTGCAAAATAAAAGCAAGAATGTTTCATTTCATCTTTTTTAGTTTTCTCAAAATATTTATGATCGGAGTTGTAGTCAAACTTTTTTGATATTTTTCTTTTTTTTTTTTCATTAGGAATGTCAAAATTATTTCCTCACACATTTTTATAGCATTGTTCTATATTTTTTTTCATATTCTTCATCATCAGACTGATTTCGACTAATTATTTAACTAACTGTCCACTTTTTAAATTTATAGTGACTTTCAAAATAACTGAAAAAAAAGGTTCCAGCATATTCAGGATGAATATAAAATTAAAATATTGCATTTGAAATATCAATCCACAGGTTTTAACGCTTAAATCAGAGAGTCTGATTGAATTACAAATTTCTTGAAGTGCCATAACCAAAGCTGAATAATTAAATTTAATAGCGGATGTAGCTTCAGTTTGGCAAGCACATCTTGTGTTAAATATTGATTTTAGCGTTAAAAGTTTTACATTTATTTGTTTAACAATTTTTTCGCGTATAGCATACCTAAGGCAACTACTTTCAATGGTAACTGGTATAAACATACATACAGATAAAACATAAAATTATTTTGATCATAGATATTAAACATGTTTAATATCTACGAATGCTTATCACATCTCGATGGGCAACCGCCAACCACTATATCTTTAATCGTTTGAAGATCTATGATTTGGATTTATTTTGTTATCAAATTTCTACAACTAAAACGCTTTATTACATTTTTAATTATGCATAGTCTCTTGGGTAAACACAAAGGTTTAAAAATTTAAAGGGCTTTACCTTCTTTTAGTCATAACTTCATAAAGTATCAAGTAGGTACCCACCCACGTATAAAAAAAAAGGATCAGGTGGGGCTAAAGCCCAATCAGCCTTACCCGTGCGCACGTCTATGTTTATACTATTATTATAATTATTATAATATTGTTTTTTCCATTCCGTTAATTTTTCAGACGATACGTATGTGTTACTCAATATTTTCAATGTTGATAAATTACAACAGTAACAAAACGGAATAGTCATGGTCGATTTTTACGTCGAACAAAACGAAGCACGTCAATTTTAGTACATGAAATCGTTTATAATATTAAAACACTTTCTCCCTTCCATCCACTAAGATGAAACAAATCGATCGGCTTATCAATCAAAATACTAAAAAATTTTAGCATCAATTAATTTTACATATATCGCGTAAGAAGTCACGGTTTGTTTTAAAATTTAATAATATGTACATATAATTCAGCATTATATAATTTTTTTTTTTTCAAAATATATGTTTGTATGAAATAACTATTTTTTGGTATTTGCTTTTTCTGTTTTCATCAAATAATCGTAATATTATTAACAATTCAAAAAAAAAATCAAAAAAATATTTCTTATCCAGTTTGTAGCCAAGGTAACCTAGAAATTAACGAAAATAAAACCAATGTACCTTCATCTATTAGCAGTTTTTTTTTTTTTTTAAATATTGTGAATCTAGAAAAAATGTTCTAATTAGTTACCTAATACTAAACGAATAATCTACAAATTTTGTGGTATAGCAATGAAGGCATCTTCATGATCATCTGATCATGTTCACTAACCAAAAGTGTTCCCGAGAAGAAAACATAAATAATACCTTTTTATCTATTCACTTACAGGAGTGAACTGGTACAGGATGTTATAAACCCAAATTCGTATTTATGACCCAGGCCTCGACTATTCCTGCCAGGTCATTTAGATTCTCAGTGGAGTGAGGAAAAACCGGAAAATGTACATATGTCTAGTATGTTATGACCTTTTATTTCTTTAAACAACTTTTCTACCATTATTTTTGCTTCGATTTGCAATGATAGAACTTTTTCTGAAAGGAAATCTTACTGGGGTAGTACTTTTAAGAGGTCAAATTTGATTTTTTCACTAGTTTTCCCAAGAAACAGTTAAAACCGGAAAAAAACATGAAAAAACCTGGAAAACGTAAAAAACGGGAAAATAGGTACAATAGTAAATAAATATTATTAAAGAAATTGTATAATGCATATAAGCAATTATTTTACCATAGTATGACATATAATATATTACTGACAAAGCAATACTATCAACCGAACTTCGCTTAGAATCATTTTTTTGTTAGCAATGAGTAATAATTTCTTACAGAGATACAGAGATATATTGAATTACCTATAACAGTGGACCCATCCTTTTAGGACAGCTTTTTCTTAAGTTTAACTTATTGTAATGTAGAACGAAAAGATAAATGGTTATTGAAACCGCGGTTAATAATTTATAATGTTACATTCTATATTCGTATCACTAGTATCTACGAATATGAAACAATATAGATAAAATTACCTACTGAAAAAAAAAAAAAACAATTAACTTACTTTTAATTTATTTTCATAATTATTTTATTACCTATATTCTACTCGTATTATAAAGTATTATTAGTTAATTTATTTGGACACTAATATTATAGGTTTTTGCATGATTATCCTTAACTAGCCTTGAGTCGTGTCATGAAATCTTGTTATCTATTTTTGACACTCTTTCCGTGGTCCAATTTCGTATGCACTCATATTTATAATGAGTAACAAGAATACAATATTCAGATTTTCCGTTTTTATCCACGTTTTGAATAGTAATTGAAAAAGCAATAGACAGTGTCAAAACGTGATATGCGTGTGTATAGACTACACAGTTCACAGATAAGAAAAATAATATATCGTAACGTATTATAACAAAATTGTAAAACACAATTTTCTTCATAGTCTTCCTTTTGTCATAAAATATTACATTGACAACATTTTTTTTTTTTCGAAAGATTTTTTTAACTTTTTGTAAACATCTTTTAAGAAAATCATTTTTTTTTTTTTTTAAATTTTGCTATTATAAATATATTCCAAATTACTACTAAATTAATTCACTAGCTATTAGGTACCAAACATATTCTGTTTTTTTCGAGTTAAAAGGAATTAAGGAATAGGTATGAGAGAGACCGATACGGAAGGATATAGTGACGATTTCCATGTGATTATATGGCCCACTTAGCTCTTAAGAAGAAAAATAAAAGAATTAAAATTTTAAACATAAAAATTTGTATAAATAATAAACTTTTATCATTGATAAAAAAAAACAAGGCCAAGAAGGAGATAATAACACATCCCAAATATCTTCTTCAAATACGCCACGGGAAGGAAATAAGTTACATAGGTGTGTTAATTTGAATTATTAATTTTCACTCAGATGCATTATATATGAAAGCACTTTATAATAATATAGTTGACAACTTATTATGTAAAGACGATATTTATATAATATAGAACACGACCTGTACATATTAATAAAATATGTTTCTTAAAAAAAAAAAAAAAAAACAAAAAATCACAGAGATGATATACAAAAACAACGTAAAAAAACTTATCTTATACAGTAATATTGTTATTTATATTATACGTAGGTATTACACAAATAAAGTTTTATCAACTGCTTTCTTCACATTGATTAAAGAACAATAATAATAATAATAATAATAATATATGTTATTTAGTATTTACAGAAGATATTGTCAACAAATTAAACATTCAGTCACACGCATCGTATATAATATTAATAATAATAGTAATAATATTTTAATCGTAAATGTGCAGTATAATATTAATAATTTTTATATGAATAACATATCAAATTAATAATATTGATACGAGGATAATAATATTAATGTGATAAAAAAAAAAAAACCGAATAGAAACGATGAGAAGGGAAGGGGCCGTCGCGGGGACAATGATTAGCAGAGATTTTGTCCGATCCAATTTATCTCAATTACATTAATTTTTAGTTCAAATGCATTTTATTTTATGGCCTATTATTCAATTTCACCACTTATTTTGTCAATTAAAAAAAAATATACCTAAGTACTCCAAATTGATTTTGCTACCTTATATATGAAGAACCGATCATATCCACTCCATATTTCCATTGCTGTAGAAACGGAAAATGTATAATAACAATCGATAATAAATACGAACTAATAATTTTCCGTGGAATGTTTTTTCACTGACTGCAGTTTAGAAAAAATTTCACCGCACAACGCGGCTAAACCCATGTAATAAAACGCTTAATAACCAATCTGAAACATGTCCAAAATACAAGCATCGAGATTTAAATAACTAGAATTCTTAGAGTTTCAGTTTAATAAAAAATGGATGACTAATAATTTATTTTCGATATACTGAACGAATCACGAGTTATCTGATGAAACAAAAAGTTGAAGTAAAATAACATGTGGCTACGATCGAGAAAATTGATTGTCACTATAAAACTCTATGCGAACCCCCACATCCAGGGAATGCGTTCCAGAAATTTAATAATTTGTGTAGGTAAAAATATTTTATTACCAACGTATAAAAATAATCGAATGGATTACCTATGTATTCAAATTCAGTTTATTGGACAAAATCTCGCGTAACCGGACATAAGGTGCGAACTGCAGTGATAGAATTAATAAAAACGGACAGGTAAACGATATTCCATCGAATATCTGACGTGACGTCGTGTCACGTTCGCGGAGAGAGATCACCGGCGTCTTGTAAGGGACCGGACTCGAACACCTCAACAGTGGCGTTTTAATCGGAAGGCGAACGGCCGTGCGTTGAGCAAATTGTGTGAAACGGAAAACCGGGAATCCCAGTAAGGATATTATGTATAATGTATTGAAATAGGTTGGATATCCGTCGTATTTTAATTTTTTAAAACAGCGGGACGAATAGTACGTGATACAATTTTATTATCATTTTACAGGTTTTATGTTATCAAATATCGATTCACCCAGAACGGGAATAACGGAAATCGTCAAAGAGAGATCGATAATATTATTGTTGTCGGATTTATTTATTTAGCGTTGATTTTGTTGTAACAGGGGTAAAAAAATCGGACACGTTTAGTAGGTCGGGTACCGTGCACGCGTGTCTTACAAGTCGTATGCCTAATCCGTAATAAAAATAACTCTCGTTTACGCACACAAAAACAATATTAATAAAATAGATTACATAATATTAAGTACATCGTATTGTTATGAATTATCTTATTCTATACAAATAATAAAATTATATTCCGTTTACAAAAAACCGCAATAAATATAGAACAAACGTATTGGTAATAATAGGTAATTTAAACTTACAAGATAAGATTTTTTTTTTTTTTTTTTTTTAAATTTCAACCGGCATAGATAGAATAGGGGAAATTTATCGGCGGGAGTTTTTATAATAATAATTTAAAATATACGTGTTACTATATATATATATTTGCGAGTTTTAACGAAAAAAAAAATAAAAAAAATAGCATCCATCGGAAAATATTATCAATAAATACAAACACCGTAGTATTTTTATTATTTTTTTTTTTGGTTGTTTGTTATTTCCGGTTAATTTAAATTGACCAAAGCCCCTCTTTCAAAAAAAAAAAAAACACGATAACTCTGTAGGTAATGTACTTCTGGGTCATTTGGTAATTTAGAAGGGGGGCTCGATTCGTGTGCTGCAGCCACGTGCTAGGGGTAAAACCGCTATATCTATCGCCGGTTGTATTTCAGAGACCCTGAGCATCTATACAATATTTTTATTGTAATAATACATAAATATGATTTTTTTTTTTTTCTTATAAGGTTATGTTAACCGTAAAAACGTATACACCATCCGCTACAATAGCTAATCTACTCTTAAACGGTACCTATATGTTCTAAGACAACAATGATATCGACAGAATTATTATAATAATTGTTATCAACGTCAAACATCATAGATGGTTGTACGAAAATCAAACGCAGAATATTATAGAACATAGATACAATCGACACCGACACTTAAGCTAATAATAATAATAATAATAATAATAATAATAATATAGTAGCAGTATAATATTATATAGATAACGGTTAGTATGAACGCTATAAACGAATAGTAATAATAAGTATAGTAGTCGATTTTAGCCCTCCTCACACGGGGATACTCAAAACAAACTGAAATCGCCGGGATATTAATTAGGCATTATTAGGAGACAGGGTTACTATACTAGACAACCAAAGTTGCCTGTCACGTGTTTCACAAACTATGGTATTATGTTCTAGTCGTGTCAGTTTATCATTGTGTTCGTCTATACCAGTCGTGCCGTGGATATTTCAGCAGCGTCGCTTGTGAACGACTAGGTGCGCCATTAAAACCATAAAATAATGGTTTTCTACGAGAGCAACAATCACTTTCGTACAGTAAAGTTGTCAACAATTGTTATTATATTGTTTAAGGTTATTTGACGAAAATATATATTTTCATTATTATACTGTACACCCGTATTAATTCAATATTCGTATTTTCTGATTTTTAAATACATCATGAACCATCGAACATATTACTATCACTCGATTCTAAACGAAAATAACTCCATAATCTCTCCACTCGACTATCACGATACATTACAATTGATACACACATACGCATTGCGTCTCCTGTAATATTCACGGCGATTACCGTTTACTCTCAGTATATCCGTGTGTGAATACAGAGCCTAAACCTAACAGAAATACGTTTCTATAATACGTCTTAATATTATATACAATATACATAATGGAACACGATAAATAGATAATCAAAAACAAATAAAAATAAATATTAAATCCGGGTAAAAAATAATATTCAATACAATATAATATATTATATTATTATCATTTTCGTCAAGTGATTCGTGTTCGAGTACGAATGAATCTCGTACGAGTGATATATATCGTTTTTAGCACCATCAAATACGACTTACACATTAAACACACATAATTATACGAGTAGTTATCATAATAATAACTAATATAATAATATATATATAATATACTTAAACCGACAAACATAATATTATAGTATAATAGGTATATTTACAATTATGAGTTTTACACGATATAAATATTTAGAGCAATAGATAATTGGTAAAAAAAAAAAATTATCACGGTGTGTAATAATAATATGTATATTAATCGAAATATGATATTTTCAAAATAAAATAAAAAAATGAATGTTTATCGACGTTATTCAACGTTGGTACATATTATTATGATGACGTCGAAATTTCGAATGTACGGCTTGATTTTTAGGAGCAAAACATTGGGAAAATAATATTTACAGCATTAAACTGTGTAACATCATGTTTCTGTCACTTATTGTGTTCTTGTTCAACGATTCCTATATTGCTATCAATTTTTAATATTTCAGTTTTTTAACTACGTACATTTACCAAATAATAATGTTAAATTAAATTAATACAAAAACTATTTTAGGCTATGTATGTGTTTGACTATGCTTAAATATTCGATTAATAAAATACATTTTAAAAAAAAACTAACTCGAAGGTTTCCTGAAAAACCTCATATTAAAATTAATAAAAACTGAAAAAAAAAAACAAGTAATATCCGAAATTTGAAACCGTGAGAGCGTTTGACGCAAAATTGCTTACTATTATTAGATCAGTTTTTATCCGCGCCACTTATTGTTAGTCAGTTTAGTTAAGTTGGGTTCTTTAGGTTACATTGTGTCGATTTATTATTTTCCGTGTAATTTTTATAGTCTTTCGAGTTTTAGTTAGTTGTATTGACAAATAATAATAAAAATATAAATTGACAACTTTTTATTATTAAGTTTAGTTTTTTTTTTTCATATATATATATATATGTACATTTTTATTTTATATAAAAAAACACTTTTCCTTAAATTAATTTAATTTTACAACTACCTATATAGCTGGGATGAAGGCGAAGGAGAGATTATATACCTATATTTAACAGACTATTGTGTGAAAGTTATAATCAATATTGGGAAAGATATTCAATATTTTTATCAACATGAAATATAAAGCTAAAGATAGGTTTCAGTTATCTTATTAACATAAAAATATAATAAAGTTAAGTTAGTATAGCGAGTTCTTAACACCTAAATAAAAAATACGTATTATCTAAAAATATTCAAGAAGATAATGATAAATAAAAGATATTTAGTGTTTTATATAGATAAAAAGAAAATAGTATTTCGTTATCTAGATTATCATTTAAATGATTTTCTATCCCAACATTGATCATAATTCTATTGTGGAATCAAAATAATATAATTTTTAAAAAATCATATTATCTTATAAAAACCATAAAATTACGTTAATCCATTCTAGGGCTCGCTTTCTGAAAAAAATATTTTACGTTCTTTAAAATTGGACGTCATCTCCGTAATAAGTATTACTTTGTGTTATGTGAACTGAAATCATTTTAAAACGTCAATTAATATAATATTAGCGCACCAATAGAAATTTTTACATTTACAAAACATTAAACAGTAAAACATAATGGCGTTTAGTGAACATTACTACATTGATATGGCATTGTGTTTTCTACTGTAAAAGTTAAAAAATAATAATTACAAATAGTTTTTACGTTTATATGTATGTTTTATGGTATAGCTATAATTATGTTCTTCGTTTTTAATTACGTATGTTTACAAATATATATATATTTTTTTTTTTGGAGGGGGAGGGGACGTTAGCAAGCCCTGAATTCTATTCATAAAGGCTATATACATAACTATATTAGACTTCGGCAAACTTCACCATAGAGACCATAGTGTTATTATATCGTATGATTATTATACACACAACTAAAATGTAATGTAACTACGTAGATACCAAGGCTGGACATCAACGAGTTAAAGTGTCAAAAGTTAAGTTAATATAATTTATGATTTTTTTATTAATTTGACTTTTCACTAGAGATGGGCGGTTCAATACCTCAATAATTTAAATACTTCAGAATTTATGACAGTATCGAATATCGAAATTAATTTAATTTTTGGTATCAATTTTGATATTTTATTATGTTGAAATGATAAAAGATCATGTGATGGTAAATTTTAAAATTGTATTATGTGTGTTTAGATATGAATTTTAAAAATTGCAATTTTATAACAATAAATAATAATATTAATTATTAACAAATTAATATTTGTACTATTTTTTTTTCAATTTTATGGTATCGAGAATCGAGTATCTAATTTTAAACTATTGGTATCGCCCATCTTTACTTTTAACTTATTTATGTTTCCCAAATCAACTCAATAAATATAGAAATAATTTTTTAATTATATTATGTCAGATAAATTAATTTAAATTTCATTTGATTATAATAGATTTTTTTTTATTTCTAATCTATAGGTATACTAGTTGAATAATAATTTTTTTTCTACCCCATAATGTGTGTGAAATTTACAGTTTAAAATAAGTATATTATTTAATATATCAGGAAATACACCCCGTGTGTAATCCTGTGGTCATCCTAAAAAAAAAAAAAAGATCAATGTTAGGTTTAATCATTTTCGCTATGGCAATAATAATTTCACAAAAAACAATTATCTTAACTCACTATTGACGGTTAATTAATAATGTAATTCAATTTCGCTTATTAAATCGTTAATTATTATTTTTAATAGACTTAACATAACCTAGTTAATATTATTTATTAACTTGCCCAGCCTTGTTTTAAGTGCCTAGTAATGTAGTACAATTATTATTAATTCGACAACCGCGGTTGTTCGATCAGTTATAGAATACCTAATATGCTTAAGAAAAAAAAATATGTATTTATAAATATTAGATATGTTAAAATTATTAACGTTAACCCTAATATTAACAATAATATTATTTTACGACGATTCCGACCATAATAATATGATCAGACGATCGTCGTGTGTAATCTCACTATTTTTGCCTAACCACCGATACGCTTGGGAGCGATATTCGTGAACGATATATTCGTATTATAATAATATATGGAAATTAAACGCAAAACTTTAAATTATTATTCAAAACGATGATAAAAATAATATTTACATCCCGTCAGATATATTATTATAAGAAAATATGACGTATAATATAATATTATTAAGTATAGAGTAATATATAATAATTAATATGGGCGCGCGTACAAAAATACATACATAAAAACGGAATATTAGGGAGTTAGGACGTTAGGGGTATTGGGAACGGGAATTCAGATGTTAGCGCTGGGTTGCGTAAAACCTTTTATTTAAATTTATTCAACGATAGGATTTATTGGACCCTACTAAACAATTGTATAGAGCCATTTGGATTGCATAAAGGGTAAATTAAATACACGATGGTTTATAGCATGGCTGCTACCTGGTTACAGTTACTTAATTTACTAATCGTATCACCAAAAAAACCGTAAATTTATTTGAAAAAAAATTTAAAATGAACACATTACAAAACACGCAAATATATGAAAATTGAACATCGTAAGAAAAATATATTTAACGATAAACCCATCATAGATAAAAGCTCTATCGATCAGTTACCAGGTACCAGGTCTATGTATAAACCGACGTTAAACATTTTTAATGAGCCGAATTCGGACCTCTAATTTAGTGAACTGATTAGCAGTCCCAGTTTAGGGAACTGTACAATTTTATGTATGTATAATGAACCGTTAAAAATTGAACGATTCACTATAGAGGTATTTCAATGTTCAGCGATATTTAAAATTTATGCAAATAATAAGGACAGGTAGTCGATGATGGTAGTGGCAGTGGTGGCGGTGTGGTAGTGGTGATCATGGTACAGTTGTGGTAGTAGAAATGGTATAGGAACGCTCTAAACAACAGTGTTTTTAAGCGTCACATTCGGGTTTGTAACCCAAATTTTTCCGCTGCAAGAACAATTGTATTTCCCGGAAATTCGGTCGGCTCTTATCGTCTCTCTGCCAACATTCGCACATGAGATCGTAGATTTCTTTTGGACAATTGATAGGCTGCGGTAAAAGAATCTGAAATGAAATCAAAACGTCAGTATTTATTGGTAACACGGTTAATGTTATACTGATATAATAATATATGCAGTAGATATATATATATGTCCACTGAATATATCAATATATGATAAGCATTCGAAATCGGCAATGTATTAAACTATCGTATAGAATTATATTATAGTACTGCAGAATTGTTTACAAATATTCAAACAAAAAGAAGAAGCGCGAGAAGGTTTTAGTATCCCTTATTGTTCGTTTCGCATCCTATAAATCTTAATTCTTGGTGGTGCATTATTAAAACGCCGCGTGTCGTGCTGCCACACAAATTATACTCCATTTATCTTCCTTGGCCTGAACTTAAAAGTGGAATATCTCGTCAACAGATTGACAGAAATCCAAAATTTCAACACTATAATTTATTTTCACTAAAATCCCGTCTATTTAAGGTATTCTGAATATAGGTTCTATTTAAAAATTAAAAGTATATAATCGTTTAACCCTAAAAATAAGGATGACAAAAAAATGATAATGTAGCATTTTAGAACTATTGGTTTCTTAAGTTTTCAGAAATAAACAATTCTGAAAAAAAGTTATTACTTTTCGAGATAATGAGTATTTCCAGTTGAGCGAATCATTCTGTATAGGGTGGTCGTTTTATGTTGTTCCCGGCGGAATAAGGAGGCGAGCCTGAGAAAAAAATCTATGGATTCCTATTCGTCATTTAAATAGGAAGGGGGAGTGGAGGGTCGAAATTTCTTATTAGTAAATATATTGTATAAAACCACTTGGATGAGCAATGAAATAACGCAACAATTATTTTTTATCGTCAGTCGAACGTGTATGCGACGTTATAGTATATACTTAGACTATCACACATGTTATATAAAGTATACCGCGACTTACGAGTACTGTGCAATTGTACGCGAGGTTTGCGTTCGAATGGATAAAAATAAAAAAAGAGAAAAGACGAATGATGTACAGTGTGACACGGGCCGAAGTGGTTTTTTGTATTCCTCCCCCGGCGACGGCGGTAAAGATATTATTCGAAGATACGATAGTTATCCGGTCTAAAAACGCCTATGCCACGCCGCTTCGGTAGACCGTCAAAAAGCGTTTTCACTGTGGCTGTATGCAACGATAAGTCGCTTTATATATCCTCCCCCCCCAAAAAAAAAAAAAAAAAAATAAAAATAAAGAAAAATGGACCCTCCCAATAATTTTTATTATCTTTAGGGCACTGGCTTATTCAATATTCATGCCGTAAATATGTAAAACATACGCAATTAGCCGTTTGGACTAATTTTCTAGGCCAGTATTTCTCAAACAGTAAGTACTCCATGGTAGGAATCTAGTGAAAGTAACCAATGGATTCCACATAGACATCAGAATTAAAGTCTATTTATACATATCCGTTCCGTGTCCAATCCGTAATCCGTTCAATGTCAGTGGCATTCGATTTCTACACGTTCGATCCAGTTCCGTAAACTGTACTCATTACATTTGTACAGAGTTGGTTTCTTATTGGCATGAAATAAACAGTTTTGTTTTGTAAAAATTAATAATATTCAGAATTAGTTTATGGATACATTGAAGAATTTGAAGAAATATACAACGAATTTAGCATTCCTGGCGTTTAGGGACACTGCAAATTTGTGTTTTTTTTTTTTGAAAACATAAATGCTTTACGAAAAAATAAGTACCTTTGAGTTTGGTGATGGTCAATTCATTTGAATATTAAAACTAACAGCGAAAAATTGGCCCTGCTAAACGCCACATTTCATATCGCTTGCATTTATATGACGGAGGCAACGCGTGCGAGTATCATAGTTAGTATTATAATATTATATTAATTGTGATACCGGAATAATATTATTCTAAAATCGTATCAGTCACTTAAAGATACTAGATTTAAAAAATTCTGTGTATGGAAAATTCGTTCCATGAAACGTTCGTTCACGAGAATTTTAAACTCGCAGTCCGTTAGAATCGCATACATGTGCATTTTATTCGAATATTATAAATTATTAAACGAAAATTAATGTACCGACATGCATGCCACTATCGTAGGTATTTAAAACTCTGATACTTTCCAACAATTGAGTAGCGCCCGACATATTTTCACAATTCCGCTGGCAAAAGTACAAACTTCGTGCATAATACAATAAGACCCCACTCGACCTTTTTGTGTATACAGTACACACATGCCATACTCTCTTTTATTCCCCTTTAGAAAATGTCCTTTACTCGTTTTCAAAGTTCTTTCCGAACTCAATAATTGCCCTTACAAGCAGTGAGGTCTGTTGTCGTTGTGATATATTCATTGGCTAAGGGAACTCCTTTTAGGAGCGTGCATCTTTGAACAACGAAGATTTTTAAAAAGCCAAAAATACTTTTTTTAATTGTTGGAAAGTTGGTAGGATATAGAACAATATTTATCTATTATAAAAGCCATAATTCCGTCGCAACGTTTTTTAAATTTATTATGACTGATAATATAATAATAAATAATAATATTAATATAATTTATATTCTAACAAACATTATAACCCGGCATATACTCGTATGACGGACATACAACTATATAGTATAGTTAATATGAACCTGTGTTTAACGTTATAAATCATTGCGAAAAAAAAAAAAAAGAAAACCTTATTTCGTTTGAAGCTCGGTAATAAAATAAACCACGAAATCTAAAAATAAAAAGCCCGAAATTCAAGTGAGAGCACATAAACAAAGAAATTAAAAATATAAAATCCTTTGAGATGTTGTCGGACCTCTATAGAGTTAATTATATATGCGTCTATAGGTTCAACATTTGAGATTGTCAGTTTTTATAAATTTGTTACAAATCTTTTGGGAATCATCAAGAAAAATATTTCATTATTTAAGTATCATCATGGCAATCCGCAACTTTTGGAAAGTTTGGAGTATTTTATTCAAACCAAAACGAGGGGAGGAGGAACACGTCTTGGTGAAATACTAATGTAGCTTCTTAGATACACTCATGATTTAAAAAAAAAAAAAAAAAAAAAAAANTAATTTATATTCTAACAAACATTATAACCCGGCATATACTCGTATGACGGACATACAACTATATAGTATAGTTAATATGAACCTGTGTTTAACGTTATAAATCATTGCGAAAAAAAAAAAAAAAAAAAAAAATGTGATATACGTATATATGTAATAATATCGTGTAATCGTGTAGTTGAATAACAATAATAATTGTCGAGCCGAACACAATGTGTACATTTTCAGCGACGACAACACGCATATTATATAAGTATTTTATACCACCGGAAACAACGGGTATATAGACGGCGAAAACTTATATAAACGTCGAAGGCCCGATTAAACTTTTCGCGCCAACGCGGCGAAAAAGTTTTCTAATCACAAAAACTAACGATCGCGTAAAAGTTTTGTCATACTCACACCCACACATACATACAGAGACGCATTACAAACGTGTTTTATCAATTAAATGTGCTAAAAAACGCACACGAGTTGAAAAAAAAATACGATGTGGCAGCGGCGTATCCGATACACGTTTGAACGAATACTACGAGTTTGAAGTTTGATAGCATTTGACAATAATGAAACGTCAAGATAAACCTAGTTTAAAAAGGTACAAAATATCTCAAGTCCATACGAACATATGGGTCATATGCAGATGGAACGGAGCTACAACGAATTATGAGAGTGTCTACGGTTAAATAATAATCCAGTGTTATATTAATCAATTTTAACGACTTATAATAAATAATGTTTTTCTAAAAGTGTCGATGAAAATTAAAAAAAGCGAACTTATACTGCTGATGTGTGTACCACTGTTGTAGGTGATAAGTTGAGAAAATATTTATAAACATAATGTTATTCTATTTATATCTTTACTCAACGATAAATTATTGTTAATGAGATACGGTTCTGAGCGAAGTTCGGTTACACATGTTTTTTGAAATGCTGTAATTTTATCGATTTACGTAAAAATTTAAACGTAAAACGATTATAATGATAATTACGATACTACGCTCAATTATTTTTTTTTTTTTACCATTAAGTATAACTTACAATGGACATCATATTAAGTTTTTAAGTATTCGGTGGCCGAAACAATTGTATCCATATAGATCTAAATAAAACTAAAAAAAAACTTGTAAAATGATTGTAATTAGCTGAAAAATAGTCAGAATGTTTTGAAAATATTACCACATCTATATAAACCTAATATAGAGATATTAAGTATTTTGTGGATTTTCAAGATTATTTCAAATTACAAAAGAAAAAAACAAAAACAAAAAACAACATATCCGAAAATAACGAAACCGTCATTGTCATACACATTTCTGTTTTTCCTATTTGTTTTTTTTCCCCACTTATTAAGAAAAATATACGATCATCGCTCATAAGAAAAAATTGGCTTTCAGAAAAAAAATTGCCCCTAATAATTAGAGCAAGATTTCTGGTGGGAAAGTAGTTTAAAGAAAGGGAAAAAAAAGCGAACATTATACTAAAATCAATACATTCCTTGTTGTGCTCAAAATCTAAAATACATGACGCATACTGTTTTGGATAAAACCAGCGTTAGATCAGTGATTTCTCGCTGAATAAGGCATATAAGATGCTACCTCATCTACAAATCAGTATTTAAAAATATTAACATACAT